TGGTTCTGCAAAGTGTAAACCACCAAATTTTACAGTAGTTTTTATTATATTTGAAGCTTAATGTTTGATGTTGATGGCTAATTGAAAGAATTGGTGTTTTTTTTTCCTGTTATGTAAGCTTAAATGTTAGGGATATCCAAATTTACATTAACCCTTTTAAGATATATTGTGTATTGATCAGAGTTTGCAAAACTGAAAATCGGTTTGAATTATGTTACAAGTGTTTATTGTACCATGGATTTGTAACCAAACTTAATGTTTACCATTTTAGAATATGTTATTCTCTGTGGATTTTTATATGCTTTCCTTTTATGTCTATTTTTATGATAAACAGAAGTCGATGTACGAACACCGTCCAATTATTTTCGCTCCTTTAGTCCCGAAACTGAAACCTGTCTAAAATTTGCATTGCTTTTTTTATTTGATCTTGTATCAGAACAAAGCAGCTATCCGCAGTTTTTTAGTTCCTTCACAATGAGCAATTGCAACATGACTAGATTTTGTGCTGTTCACCGTAAAGCTGTGGTTCCCTTGTCCATGGGCAGAAGATGTCGAAATGGATGTCTAAGAACCCTTCCCACCAGTACTTTAACGCATTTCTCCCAGAACACTTCAAGTATTGTCCGTGCCCCAACATCGATAGTGTTAGCTGTGAACCTCACCCCATTTGATGCACCTCAACGCTCCGATGAATGGTTTGCCCTTCGGAGGAACAGGTTGACCACAAGCACCTTCAGTACTACTTTGGGGATTTGGAAAGGAAAGCGCCGCTCTGAACTCTGGCATGAAAAAGTTTTTTCATCGGAAATGCAGGTTGTGGAACCTTCTAAAAGGTGTGCTATGGAGTGGGGTGTTCTCAATGAAGCCGCTGCTATTGAGCGGTACAGAAGTATTACAGGACATGAGGTCAGCTCATTAGGATTTGCTATCCATTCTAAGGAGCAGTTCGACTGGCTTGGTGCATCACCCGACGGTCTTCTTGGTTGCTTTCCAGGAGGTGGCATCCTGGAAGTGAAGTGTCCATACAACAAAGGCAAACCCGAGACTGCTCTGCCATGGTCAACTATGCCATTCTATTACATGCCTCAGGTCCAGGGTCAAATGGAGATAATGGACCGAGAATGGGTCGATTTATATTGCTGGACACAAAACGGAAGCACGATATTCCGCGTGTGTAGAGAACACAGTTACTGGGATCTTATACACAGCATCTTACGGGAATTCTGGTGGGGAAACGTAATGCCTGCTAGAGAAGCACTGTAGTCAGGCAAGGAAGAGGATGCTAAGACATTCGAACCTGCATCCACACACAAGAAAACAGGGCTTGCAATTTCAAAAAGCATAAGGTTAGCCAGTGAAGCAAAGATGTTTTGTAGGGAGATTGCAGGTCATGTTGAATTTTATAGATGATCCTAAGTTGGAACCTCTCATTAGTCACTGCACCTTTTTTCTTTTCATAATTGCTATTGATTTTTAACAATATACAGTGGTCATTGTATTTTTATAAGTCCACTGACCATCTGTCAATAACAATGACCATATAATGTTAAACGTGAAATCCGACTCTACAAATATTGCTTCCCCAGCCTCCCTCAGTTTATCTCGAATTTCTAGTGTATTGGTCTCGACTTCTTGGTACTTGAATTGTCAACCATTATCATCATACGATGACGTGGCTCGATGGGAAAACACCAACGTGACATGAAATTTTAAAAACTAAAAAATCACATTCGTATTTTAGAAAATAAGAAATGTTTTGTAGGGAAATAACTTATGGACATGGTGACAGATTTTGAACGAAAATTTGGTTTTATTTTTCTGATATTTTTGATAAAAGTAATTTAAGAATGGGTTGGAAATTTTGAACAATCCAAATTCGATTTGAGTGTTATATTTTTTATCTGTCAATCGATTTAGTTCAAATTTAGTGTCATTTTTAGGATAAAAATTTATATTCAACTCAAATATATGTATAATTTTTTTATTCAGTAAAATACTAATAATTAAAAAATAGAGAAATATATATTATTGTACTTGTCCTTAAATATATGAGGAATAATTGTACTATTATTTTAGATTAGTTGTAAATTTTTACTCTATATATAAACCCAATCTAATCTAAATATAGTCTTAAAAGAATTAATTCAATCGATCCAAATTTAAAGTTAAACAAAATTAATTTCACAATATTGGGTCAAGAGTCAAGACCCGTTAAATTTAAATCTCATATCTATCAGGAAAAATATTCTACCTATTTTATGAATTTTATTCTATGTAAAAGAAATTATAAAATAAAAATATGTAAATATGATTTTGAATAAAAACGTATAAATATTTTTAGGGTAAAGTATATAAATAGTGTAAAGTATATAAATAGTCCATAAACTTTTAGAGCACTTCATTTTGGTCACCCCATTTTTTAAACTTGCAATACAACCATCGAATTTTTAGTTCGTTTTTAGTAAGGTCTCTGTCGTTACCCGCCTTTAGTTTTAGCTGATGTGTCTGTTAAACCCCGGTCTTCTTTTCCTTCTTTCTTCTTCCTCTTCCTCTTCATATTCATCTTTTTCTTTTTTCTTTTTCTCTCACACCCCCGTTAACCTAACTCTTCTTCTTCTTCTCTCACACCCTTGTTAACCCCACTCTTATTATTCTTCTATTCTCCCACTCGTGCCCATCACAAGATTTTGATGCAACTCACGTACACTGAACCTCCGAAGGCATTACTTTGCCCATGGCTTGCGCCACCGTTGAAAATGGAAGAGTTGTCGTTTGCAAGATAGTTCAATGGTCCTTGAAGATTGCTATCATCCTCCATCTGTGATGATCTTAGGGTTTCGCTACCAGTTTCTTTATCGTCGAATCATTGCCGAAGTTGAGGGATAACATTGGTCTATCGTATTTTGTCCCACTCGATAATAAACCGCCCAATCCCCTTAACAAATAGGAAGCGTTGTTGATTTTGTTGCTTGTAGTTGAACCTATTTATGCAGATTTTTAAAGCAATGCAGTGGCCAACACGTGAGGATAAATATTCTCGTGTTGCATTGAAGTGCTATAAAGAAAGGAGAATCCTAAACCAACATGATCTCCCATGCATTGAAGTTCATTATTACGTATAATGCTTGCACCACTGACATTGGAGAAGAATCCCAAATTGAAAAGATTTGCGAGAGTGTGGGAATTATTAGTACTACTGCCTTGAAGGTGGAGAAGTTGCAGAAGCCCATGCAATGGTTTGTTCAGATATGACCCGTAACCATGGCCTTGACGATGAAACCCTTGGTTTGCAGCATCACCCATGAAAAACATAGATGAAGGCATGTTATGTAATGAAAAAGAATTCGATGGAGCGATAAAGAGATCGGACTTTGGCGGTTCAGAAGTATTCCCCAATTGCAACAGATTACTCAATGGGTAAACTTGATTCTGATCTTGTAATGGCCCTAAACTCATTTGATGATTACTTTCAAAGAGATAACGATTGCCCATTGTACTTAAGTTGGTGGGGTGTCTAGCACTCTCTTGAGGCAGTGCATCACAAAAGGCTGGGTGAGTGATAAAACCATCACGCCTGCAGTACCAGTAAAATGGAAAAGCCAACTTTGATTAATAGGGCTTAAAGTTAAAATAAATGGAATTAGCAGTTGTAGTTAACAAATGCATGGGGATAGGAGACTTTATTTTCACCATCTTTCCAATATTTTAACAGAAAATAAGGGCAAAAACTCTTGGTTTAATCTGAAAATGAAGAATGAATGAATTCAAAGTTGAATTTCCATTTTGAGGAATGGATGTTTGATAAATGAAGTGTGGGAAGTATTTTCTGGTTGTTAAACATACATGTATTTGTTATGCAAATAGAAGAAGAAGAGAGAAGAAAGAAGAAATAAGAAAGAAGAAGACCGGGGGTGTTTTAATGGAGTTAATGTGCCTCGCCGGCTAAAACTAACGATAAGAGATCTTACCGAAAACGAATGAAAAGTTCAGTGAGTGTATTGCAAGTTTAAAAGTTAGGTGATCAAAATGTAATAACCCTAAACGTTTAGGGAATATTTATATACTTTACCCATATTTTTATAAGATGAAATTTTAATCTATCAGGGGGTGTTTGGATGGGAGAATGTAGGATTTCCATGGGAATGAAATCCATATTCTCCCGTTTGGTTAGCCCGATAATCTCATTCCCGGTAATGTAAGATTACAATAGTAGATTTTTTTGGGTATATTACCGAGAATGTCATTACCCCCATTTCCTTAAGTATTGTTGGATTCCCGACGTTTTGGACTAAAATGCCCTTAATTTTTTTTAAATATCATTTTTCTGTCATTGAATAATAAAAATTATACGAATGTTAAATTACAAATTTATCCTTAAACTATTTTAGATTTACAAAAAAAAACTATAATTAAAATTTTATATGAAGTTCAGAGGTTAAAATAAAATTTTACCCTTTCATTAAACTTTTTTATATTTTCAATTTTATAAAAAAATTATATAAATTTTATGAATTTAAATTTTTTAAAGAAAATATATAAATATTTTTTAACTTGTTAAAAAAAACAAATATATAATAAAGATAATTTGGTCAAATATACATTCCAATAATATTTTATTCTTTTAATCAAACACGATAATCTTACATTCTTGCTAAGCCAACCAAACACAAAATACAACATTTCCAGTAATTATATTCTCTGATAATCGTACATTCCTACTGATAATCTTCCATTTCGTGAACCAAACACACCATTATAACAATCGGACAAAATCCAAGGGCCATAATTTATTGTAAGGGACGGCCTTTCTTTGTGAAATGTAACGATTGAAAGCGATAGCTCCACGGCTACACCTAGACGCATCCGTTTTTCTTTTAAATTAAATTTGAAGCAAAAATCACTCCTACATTGCGCGGCTTCAATGAGAAGTCAAATCTCATTTTGTTTGTTTGCTTGTTTTTATTTATTTTCCATTACTCCCTTCACCAAATTAAATTAAATTCAACATTTGGTTTTCCGCTCGAAAAGGCGGAGATTTCCCTCCCGATCTAGCCTAAGTCCTCGGCTTTTGTTTGGCTCCAAAGAAAATTAATTAAGGAAGCGAAGACGAAAGAGAAAAATACTAGCAATGGAAAGTGAACGAAACGGCGCGAAGAAATTGAGCAGCAAATCGAAGGTAGGAAGTTACATCGTACCACTCACAGGAGCTGCCGCTCTTCTTACTCTCGCTGCCAGCTTTGCTATCACCGCCATTAATCACCGAAGAAACTCCAAGAGAAAAGGCAACTACATTTTTCTCTCTCTATTTCAGTAGTTTTTTTTACTGCATTTCGTTTTACTTACTTTCTAGGTTCCACACGTTTATATCTAGTGATTTTTTTATTTTTATTTTTAAATTTTAGATCTTCCGGGGTGTGATTTTCGAGTTAACTTGTCGGCGAGTGAGATTCTGAAGTTAGCTGACCGAATAATTGCAAAATCAAAGGAAGTTCATGATGCTGTTGCATCTGTACCGCTCGACAAGGTTTTATAATCTCAGTACCTTTTATTTTATTTTATTTTAATCTCTGATTTTCCTTTTGCCTATTTCTACATTTGAAATACTTCGACTCATATTCCATTATATATATGTATATTAAAAATTCTCAGGTTACGTATAAGAATGTTATATCACCATTGGCAGAACTGGAGGCTCAGCAGTTTCCATTGATGCAATCATGTGTGGTGCCAAAGTTTGTTTCAACTTCAGATAAAGTTCGTAAAGCAAGCATTGAAGCTGAAAAGAAAATAGATGCTCATGTATCTTCCTGCAGGTTTAACTCATTTGTTTTTATTCAATTATATACGAATTAAGATATATCACTTGAATTTTTGGTTTGTTTCATTTAGTTAGCAAAAGTTTTTAATCTAAACTATTGATCTAATTTAAATCTTATGATTTTTTAAGTAGTTGTAGATATGGAAGTCTACTTTCCTATTTGTTCACTAAGCATATAATTGACCATTTTTAATGTTTTCATTGGGTGCTAATCAGTAAGCGGGAAGATGTATACCGTGTCCTTAAAGTTTTTTCTGCAAAAGGGGAATGGATGGGCCCCGAAGCTAGACACTATGTTCAGTGCTTGGTAAGGGAAATATTTACAGTTTTATACAGAAAGAATTCTCTGATGAGGTTGTATGCCTTGATGTGCTGTGATACAAGAAACTATTTTCTTTTGTTGTTTCCAATATTCTTAACATATTGCTTAGTGGTTTGGTTGTTCGGTTCTAGTATTGATTTCTTACTGATCAGTGACAGATAAGAGACTTTGAACAGAATGGATTGGATCTTACATCAACAAAAAGAGAAGAAGTGCAACGCCTGAGAGCTCAAATTGATGAGCTAAGTTTTCAATATGTTCAGAATTTGAATTATGATGCCACTTATCTTTTATTCAGTGAGAATGAGCTAGCTGGACTACCGACAGAGTTCCTCAAGGTTCTAACTTTTTTCTTATATTCTTATTTGCTCCTTTACGCCGTTGCTTTATTAGCTTATATTTGGGAATTCTGACTCAATAATCTCTTTTAAACGAAAACTTCAAAATTCAAGTTATATTTTGCATCTAATTTGTGCTTGTTTGCTGGTGAAATTTTCTTCTATGCTGATAATTTAATACATAAATTATCCATACAATGCTTTAGTTGAATTTTTAACATCCTGGATAAGGCGTGTTGGTCAATTATTATATGTTATAGAATGTGAAGTATTGATTTAGTATCAAGAATAAATTCTATTTTGAGCTTTAACCATTGGCTTTGTGGAAATCTAAGAAAATATGCCTCTACAATCGATATTTCAAATATCAATTAAGTTAAAATTACATGATATGTTGTATTGAAAATTGATACTGAATCATGATTCAAAGAGAAAAACTTTCCATTCTGGAAATGCTTTTATTCATAACTCTTGCTGCTATTCTTAGATGGAAATATAATTTACGAATACAAAGTTTAAAATCTTGGAAATCTGTGTTACTTGGATTTGGGTGTGATTGTTGGAAATATGTGTGTCTAATACAAGTATATTCGATTTTTTCCTGGTTTTCCATGTATTTAGATGGTTCTTGTCATATCTCTGTACCCGTGTTCAGTTATGCACTTGACATGGGTGATTAAAGGGGTACTTCAATACGAAAACTTGGAGTAACATAGCTAGAAATTTCATACCTTTATGATGGAGTTTTCTTTGAATAACTTTGCTTTGTAATATGAACTGTAATGAAATGTGTTCCACTCTGCTTATTTTGCAGACATTAGAAGAAGTGGAAAATGGAATGTTCAAAGTGACACTGAAAAGTAATCATGTTGCAGCAGTTCTCGAGTTATGCATGGTATGATTATTGAAGTTGGTTAAGGATCTGCTTGTGAATTGTTGACAATGGCTCTGTCCTCTTTTAGCAAAAAAATTGCATAAACTTACAAGTTACAAGGTGATAGGTTGAGAAACTTATGAAGACCAGTTATGTATTTGAGTTGTAGAATGCTGAAAGAGTCCCCATTATCTTTCTTATTACTGGCTTTTAAGGATATCTGGTGATTCAACTATAGCATGCCAATAAGATCCGGCAAGTTTTCAATTAGGTGTATGTTATGATTGCTGCGGTGAATCATTGCCTTGCATGTGAATGATCATGACAGTTGCTCAACTAAGATAAACTTTATTTCATTTATTTTTCTTTAGATAGGGAACCTAATTCAGATTTACTATTATTATTTCCTTTTTAATCCTGAAATATGGGAATGACCACTGTGGTGTTTCACTTTTTTGTTCCGAGCCTTTGCAGATAGGAAAGACAAGAAGGTTAGTAGCTATGACCTATGGAAAGAGATGTGCAAAAGTCAACCTCTCTGTCTTGGAAGAATTGGTAAATATCGCGTCCCCCTGGGCTCCTCCCTTTTTCTTTGAAATGACGTTTACATAGGAAAGAGAACTCAGCATCTAGAAGATCATTTTTCTTAAGCTTGAAATGAAATTATATTGTAAGATCAACTGATTGTCATGGGTTCTCTGTTATTTAGATTTTTGTTAAGAGAAACCATGCATACCCTGTTGGTATCACATTTCATAAAAAAAAAATATTATGGCTGTTCTAGTGACAAAATATTGGTTCCTTGTCTTGGCTTACAACTATTTTATCGTATCAGCAACTTTGGGATGTTCATTTTATTTCAGCCTTTATTATCACCAGGGCCCTTTTCTTCATGTTCCTCCATGTGGATCCGAACATTGAGTTTTACTTGACCCTTGAGCCTGTATTACCGTCCATTTCCATTTTTCATTAAATGTGTTTATTGAGTATAAGAACACCAACAAGTTCCCACTTTTCTCTTGTGATATAGGTTCAAGCACGTCATAAATTTGCTCGTTTGCTTGGCTATTCAAACTATGCAGACTATGCTGTGAGTTTTAGAATGGCTAAGACTTCCTCAAAGGTTTGCATAATACTTTATTTTCTTGGGGCTGTTTGTATGTTAACTGCATGAATGAAAATAATGTAATTTCCATGTCTTCCAGCTTTCATTTTCTTTTTAAATGAAGGTAGGGTTTTTTTAGTGGATTAAAGTAGTTGACTGAAATATTGCCATCTCTCTTTCTCTCTCTTCCGTTCTCTTTTCTCCTTTCTTATGAACCACATTGGATCCTTTTTTGTCTAGTCTATTGACAGTTTTTTTCACCGACAAGGTTGAGCCAGATCCTATTTTTTCCATTAGAACCTGTTGGGTGCCTCTAGGTTTATCACCTATATGATGGAATGTGTTGTTTTATGTCATAACTCCTGGAATTCTTAGGGTCTTTGACAATTCATTTCCTGAGTGATATGAACTGAACTATGTCAAACCGACGCTCTTTTTAACCTGAAATTTTATGTTATAGCAACATTAAAAACGCAGGAAGGAACAAGTTCTTGGTTTGTACTTTATTATCTTGCTATCAAGTTGAATTAGAATTTAGAACACCTGTACAAAAATGTATTTTAAAGATGAATCAACTTCGTGTATTATTTTCTCTGTGATTCATTAAGGAGTGATATCTTCTTAGGACTTTGCAAATGTGGTCAGGTATTGCAATTCTTAGAAGGTATTTCCTCCAGTTTATCAGACTTAGCCCAGAAGGAGCTGGCAGTGTTGAAAGAGTTAAAGGTCAGAGCATACCCTCCATCTTTTGGTTCCTTTCCCTTTTTCCTTTCAGATGGACAATTTATTTGCTTTTTTTTATGTCATCAGAAGCAAGAGGAAGGAGAGATTCCATTTGGAGTTGAAGATCTGTTGTACTATGTAAAGAAGGTTGAACAGCAGGAATTTGATTTGGACTTTGGGGCTCTCAAACAATACTTTCCTGTTAATTTGGTTTTATCTGGAATTTTCAAAATATTCCAAGATCTTTTTGGTAAGTTCTACATACATGCATATTTGGATTCATGGCGAATGTTCATCTCTTTGTATTGCATGGTATCATATGCTCATTCTACTTAATGCAGGTTTAAGATTCGAAGAAATTGCCAATGCTGATGTCTGGCACAGTGATGTTAAAGTTTTTTCTGCTTTTGATTTGAGTTCTGGTGAACTTTTGGGTTATTTCTACCTTGACATGTATACAAGGTTCATGCGTTAGTTTTAAGTTATATCTTTATTTGTTTTAGCACTCCTTGCTCTAGTTAGAAAGAAATGGGCTTTCCTTGTGGATCAGGGAAGGGAAATATGGTCAAACTTGCATGGTTGCTCTTCAAAATGGTTCTGTAGCATTCAATGGTGCACGGCAGGTGATCGATATTACATAATCATTATGCTTTCTTTCCCTGAATTGCTAAATACATAAAATGTTATCTTACCATCTTTCAGTGCATAAATATAATTAATTTGCTCAAATTTTCCCGAGATATGCTATTTGCATTATCTTGAAATTCAGAGACTGATTAATTTTCTTCTCTTGGTTTCCCTAGCAGATTCCAGTGGCATTGCTGATTTCTCAACTTCAGAAGGACACTGGCAGAGTTCCAAGTTTGTTGAGATTCTCTGAAGTGGTCAGTTTTTTCCATGAGTTTGGCCATGTGGTATGTTTGATTCTTAATTATCTTTTTGGGTTTTATTGTATGTTGTTGTACTTTGTATTATTGGTAGATAATACAGGTTTTATTGTACTTTGTATTATTGGTAGATAAAACAGGCTTTATTGTACTTTGTATTATTGGTAGATAATACGGGTTATATTATCTGTGAGTATTTAGGTCCAACATATGTGCAATCATGCATCATTTTCAAGATTGTCTGGGGTCCGTGTTGATCCCGACTTTGTGGAGATCCCCGCTCATGTGCAAGAGAATTGGTAGGTCAATGATCCTACGATTTCTTTATTTCTTTATTTTTGGGTTAAGTAAATCTAGACCAGGATCCTACTATTTCTTATTTTTTTTCTCTGACAGATGAAATTCCCTGACAATTGTTTTTAACGTGTAGGTGTTACGAGAGCTTATCACTGAAGTTGATATCTGGTTTCTATCAGGTGAGTACATCTTATTAACAAATTCTGAATACACGTACTGTATGCAAATTTATGTGTGGGATTGTCTGTGATTTAGTGTCTGCTATTTATTCATACATGCATTGGCTTGAACTTCTGGCTTGCTTGTCTTGGGGTATATTCATGTGTGTTTATGAGGTATATTTTAATCTGTCTGGATCGGTCCTTTCTTTCTAAAATGATTGATAAAGGAAGAATTGTTTTTGATTTTCAAAGACAAACTGTCTTTTAAATAACTAAAGGAGAATTAATTGCTTGAAGTTTTATTGGTGACATGATAATTTGCAGGATATTACAAAGCCCATCAAGGAGGAAATATGTAAATCACTTAAACGATGGCGATATTCCTTTTCAGCACTTAAATTGAAGCAAGAAGTTCTTTACTGTAAGTCTTTCTCTGTCATCAATCAGGAAACTCCTATTTTACTGAAATTTGTTGCGACTTTGACTTTCTTGAATCAGGAAAATCTGTTCTAAGTTGAACTCCTCTAATCATCTCATTTTCACTATTTGATAAGTTTTTTGAAATAGATTATAGATAGCTTTCAGGGATGTCTAGTCATCTTTCTATGGAATCAACGCCTTGGAATTTGTTTCTAGATGCATATTGTAACGCACATTATTTGGCCCCACTCTTTAGTTATGCTCTAAAGATGTTTTCTGACAGGTCTTTTTGATCAAATTATACATTCCGCTGATGACGTTGACATTGTCGAGTTATTCAAGCATCTTCATCCAAAGGTAAGCACATTTTCCTGTTCTTGCTTCTGACTATGTGCTATTAAAAGGAAAATCCTTATATATATATATTTTTCTTCCATCTTTTCGATATTCTTTAGGTAATGTTGGGATTGCCTGTGTTAGAAGGAACTAATCCAGCTTCATGCTTCCCCCGGTGTGCTATCGGTTATGAAGCTGCTTGTTACAGTCGTATTTGGAGTGAGGTTCGATCAGTTCATCCCAGTTTTTCTTGCCTGTTTTAATTTTATCGTCTAGATTGGTATAAACTGTTGTAAGCTTTTTACATCTTTATGGCGCAAAGCCAATATGTAGTGGATGATCTATTATACCTGAATGATAAATGCACCCGATGAAAATCATTTATGGTGCTTCAAATGTTCAGGTGTTTGCAGCAGATATATTTACATCGATGTTCCGTGACGATCTTTTGAACCAGAATGTTGGTATGCAGTTTCGAACTAAGGTAATCACTGTTAGTCTGTTACTGTTTCTGAAGTGCATTTTTATTATGTTACTATGCCGTTTCTGATGTCGAAAAGTTTGCTATACTTATTTCACTAGCACAGCCATCATAAGAAAACCAAAATCTTGATAGCTTAACTTCCATGTATACAGCATAAAATAACAAGAAATCTGTGAATTGATGCACATATGCATACTTCTCTCATGATGATCATATCATCTAATAATATCCGAGTTCGTGGTAGGTATTGGCATCAGGAGGAGCTAAGGATCCGGTTGAAATTCTGTCCGACTTTCTCGGAAGAGAACCTTCAATTCGGACATTTATTGACAACGTAATTGGATGCAGTTTGTGACAATGGAAGTTTTGGTAATTTATCTTGGAGTTCACTTTTCATCTTTCATTTGTAGCCTCTTGCCTTATGTTATCATCAACATCACTTGTGTTGTATGTAAAAATTTGTACACCTATTTCCCCCCTAAATGACGTAACTGTGAGATTAATTTTTGGAAAATTCTAATTCTTTTTAATCTATATTAGTAAATAACTAATTAGGAAACACTAATATGTTAAAGTGAGTTCAATGGTTAAAAACTAATGGTCATGAGCTGCAATTCAAGTAAAATAAATAAAAACGTATAATAATAATAATTTAAAAATCAAATAAAAAAAGAAAAACATATAAAATAGAAATTGGATAGCATATACATGACTTGAGAATATGATATCAAATGTTATGAACCTAATTTATCTATTTTGTTGTTATGTCTTATAACACTTGAAAAGAATATCTTTATATAAATCATATTTATTTGTAACCATTGAGCCTAGATTTATTCGATCATAACTCATATGACATTTAATAAGGAGTATTTTCTTGATAATCTAATAGATATTTCTTCTAAAAAGACATTATACCATTTACTTGGTCAAATCTCATACACTTAAACCTCACATAACGAAAGTATAAGAAAAGGTCGTTTACTCCGGTGATACTTCCACTTGTAAGTTCAAGAGAAAGGGAGCAATAAAATAACTCTGTATTCAAACCATATCACAATCTAAACCAGTGAGATACTCGTATCTTGAAACAACGAAGCTGCAACATAAATCGACTCTAAAACAAATTCATGAAGAGTAAAAATTCAGACAATCCGAAAAAATTAAAAGAAATAGTAACAAAACAAATTAATGTTAATACATAACAAGAAATCATATAAACTCCTAAATTGTATATCTTATTTTATTCATAAGATTCAAAATTAACAATTTCATTTCGAAGACACTCGATCCCATGTACGCTTAAAGGAAATATTGTCGACAGAACCTACTTTTTCTCGTATAATAATCTATTTAAGAGGAAAAAAAGCACAGAACGAGTGTACACCGTACGGTAGTTAGTGAAAAGAAAAATGAAGAACGACGTCGTAGAAGGCTCTGGTTTTGGATTTCCTGGTTCTTGTTTCGGATTTGACTTTTGATTAAGATAGACGAGGTCCACGAAATGATTAGAAAATTTGATTATTTTTTTTTGCAGAGATTGAGAAGTCAATCAAGGAAGAATGACTGAGAACATAGTCAACAAAGCATAGCTAGCAAACCAAGATGGAAATTTTCGCAGATTATTTTCTCTGTAAGTCGTTGTAGCAGGTCCTCATTTCTTTCTAATTCTCAATTATTTATATCTGGATTTTACTGCATGTGTTTGGTTTTTCTTTTAATTAATGAAAAAAAGGAAGAAAATAAACTTTCTATGTTGGATAGAGTGCTTTGATTGTTTCAATTCATCTTATAAATAATTTGGAACATGGAATATCCTGGAATTTACTTAGTTTATTCTTGTTCTTTTCCTCTGTTGCTTTCCTTGGTGGAAGAACAGAGAAGGATGTGCTGGTGCTTTTTAGTTTTGGGCGAGTTTGTCCTTGCTGGATTTTGTTCTTTAAGCCTGAAAGCTTGAATTTTTTTGCAAAGTTTGGGCTGAATTTCAGGCATGGGGCTTGAAGCTGAACAAAGGGTCTATGTTTTAGATGATAGGGACTAGGGAAAAAAAACTGCAACGTGGGATGATTGGTTCAATTGTTTTAGCAGCTTTGGTTTGGGTTTTCTTATAGTAGGGGATTTGGTTTCCACTTTCCTTATTTCGGGTTTTCTCTATCGAATATGAAGGGTCTCTGTTTTAGCTGAAGAAAGGGTTTGGTATTTCATGGATTTTAATTAGTCATTAGATTTTGATTGGTTGGATTAAGAGGGGTGGAAGGGGGTGAATCATGTTCAAACGGATTTTAAGTAAGCTTCCCCGGAAGCCATCAAAGAATTCGGAGAGTCGTGAACATGGTGGGAACCATGCTACTTATTCTACCGTATATGTGGCTCAAGGAGTGGTGATTTAGTATCTGAGAAGTCGGGAAATTCGAGTGTTTCGTACTCTCAGGCACCTAATTCTTCTGCTGATGTTGGATGGAAAAGATGTTCCGGCTTCAGAGAAGCAGAATTTGTTCATAAAAAAGATTCACTTCTGTTGTGTTGTATTTGATTTCAATGACCCCACCAAGAACCTCAAAGAGAAGGAGATCAAGCGACAGACGTTGTTAGAGCTCGTTGAGCACGTGATCTCAGCGAATGGGAAATTTTCCGATGCTATTCTGCAAGAAATCGTTAAAATGGTATCGGCAAACTTATTTAGGAGCCTTAATCCTCAACCACGTGAGAATAGTGTCATATAAAGCCTTGATTTGGAAGAGGAGGAACCATCAATGGATCCTGCTTGGCAACACTTGCAATTTGTATATGAGTTTCTTTTGAGGTTTTTAGCCTCACCTGAGACTGATACGAAATTGGCCAAAAGATATGTTGATCAGCCCTCCATTATCTGGTTGCTCAACTTATTTGATTCCGAAGATCCTAGAGAAAGGGAATATTTGAAAACCATTCTTCATCGCATCTATGGCAAATTCATGGTGCATCGACCGTTCATTAGGAAAGCTATAAATGACATATTTTTCTGTTTTATTTTTTGAGAATGAGAAGCATAATGGAATTGGTGAACTTCTAGAGATATTGGGCAGTATTATTAACGGGTTTGCATTGCTGCTGAAGGAAGAACATAAACTGTTCCTTGTCCGGGCACTAATTCCCTTGTGTAAGCCGAAATCCTTAGCAATGTATCATCAACAGTTATTTTATTGCATTACTCAGTTTGTGGAGAAAGACTGGAAGCTTGCTGATTCCATCATTAGGGGGTTATTAAAGTACTGGGCTATCACCAACAGTGCAAAGGAAGTCATGTTCCTTAACGAATTGGAGGAAGTTTTAGAAGTAACTCAGCCACTCGAATTCCAGTGCTGCATGGTACTGTTATTTCGCAGAATTGATCGCTGTTTGAACTCTCTGCACTTTCAGGTGAGAAGTTTCTGGAAATATTTTTATTATGGATGATGTTCTAGATTTGCTTGTTTCGTATCTCGGACTTGGAGATCATATTGTTTTACTTACAATTGATTGCATCAGATATGCCATATTGTGGATTCATTCTGTATGTATATAGTTTGTGGCATTGATCAGACCATTTTTCAGATTGTTTTACCCTTACTGCCACCGTCTTCAACATCACGCTTTTCTGTCCTCTCATGTTGCGAAAATTTCTAGGATCTTTCGAACTGTAGCAGGCTGTGGCATTGATTCAAATTTATAGAAATTCGGGATTTCCTAAAGTCAAGGCCCTATAAAATGTTACTTTCCTTTGTAGTTTCATGAGGTACCATCTATGAAATTAACCGACTATAAAATTGTTTTGAAAGCAAAATCTTTTAGTTAATTGATTGAATCATTTTCATATCTGTTGTTCCTGTCTTTGAGTGCTTTGGTGTTTGATGGTCATATTGGCAAGTTGGAATAGCTCAGGACTGTGTTACTTGAATCATTTTTCGAAGTTTTTTTCATGTATATGAAGGAACTTTGGAGGTCATATCCCCATGTCTCTGTGTCAGACACGGGTAGTTAAATAAAAATGACGAGTGCCAGTAACATAGGCTCAGGAAAGCCAAATATCTAAACTAAAACACCATTTTCTTTGGTTGATCGAAATGTAGTTAGGTCTAATGGTTGGCCCTGCAAAACAAACTTTAATGTATATTGGGAGATTCAATATGCGCTGATTGAACTATATGTGCTTTTTTTCGGAAAATATGCACCAAATACTTTTAAGGCTGTCGCTGCTCTTGTGTACAAAATCCTGTGGCCGTATGAGTACGGTCAGTTAACTATACCATTTGATGATCGAGAATGATAGCCGTTGAGTCTGAACTCTGAATGGCGTGATTTCGGTAAATGATATCCGATGTTTTAGTCTTTCGTAGAACTTACAATATTCTATACATAGTTTTCTTCCCCCGGAATGTCCTAAGCACCAGTTGTTTTTTGTCCTTTTTTTGCGTCTCAGGAAGCCGAGCGAGCTTTGTTCTTGTCAGAACTTAATCATTCAAAACCGCAAGGTTAAACTGCCGATTATTTTCCCTGCCTTGGAGAAAAATGCAAGAAATCACTGGAATCAGGCTGTACACGGCTTGACTTTAAATGCCCGAAAGATCTTCTACGATCTCGACCCGGAGTTGTGCAAGGAATGCTTGCATAAATTTCGGGAAGACGAATCAAAGGGAGATGAGATTGAAGCGAGACGCGAAACTACATGGAAGCGCTTGGAAGAACTTGCTGAAAAGAAAGCTTCTGGCAGCGAAACAATGCCGTTCCCCACAAGGCAAATGCCAACGTCTCTCCAGGTTAGATATGGATAGACACTTCTTGACACTTTTAAGAGTCAAATTTTATATCGGGATCGAAGTACAGGCGTGTCTGGGTGGTCGGATGTTTTCGATTTCTCGCCCAGTGCGGAAAATGGGATCGTAGATTACTGTATGATAAGTTCCTTGCCTTATGTAATGCTTCTTGTTGGTTTTGCATCATATTTTTATTTATCCATAGAAACACTCATCAAATGGTAAAGACTCGGGGAAATCACAGTGATGGTATCTATTGTTATCCCTGTGATTTTTCCCCCTCCAATTGTTTAACATAGAATCAACCATATCTAAGTGGAGGTTGCTCCCTTGAAAGATCAATTGAGAAACGGTTAATATTAGATCGAGTCGAGTGAAAAATAATTCGAGTTTACGAGTATCATTTGATTATTTAAATCTTGTTTGAACATTTTTTTTGAATGTATGAAATTCGAGTTGAACCAAATTTATTTATTTAAGTTTTTATTCAAATTTAAACATAATTATTTATAAGGTTATAATATTAATTTGTTTCAATTTAAACGATTATATCTAATCATATCTAACATGCATATATTTTTATTTGTAAAAATAATATTTATTTAATAAATTGGTAGAAATGGAAACAAGAAAAATACATGGCAACCATGAAAAATATATAAACAAAAAAGAATGTAATTGATTCCTTTCTTTGGTTGGCAACAACTCATAAAAGAACAAATCATTTGTCTCCAAGTTTCCATTTCACAAATAACTAAGAATTGTACTGATGAACAATGATTTAGCAGTGTCGGTGTTTGATTAAACCTGGTCCTGCGTGCCAACAACGATCCCAATCGGCGAATCCCCACCAATCATCTTTCATAGGTTAATTTAACTACACGTCCTTAAACTATGATTCAGATTCTGAATTAGTCCTAAATTTAAAAAATATTCTAAACTATTTTGTTAGTTCGATCATTAATTTCAATATCAAATGTCGCTTCAAATATGATGTAAAATATATAAATTGAAATATTTATATTTATTGTATAGACAATTTAAATACAATGTATTAGCATGGACCAACTTACCTCAGGGGTTAAGGAATCGTTGTTCTTAGAGGACATGAGTTCGAGCACCAACAACTGCAAGGGTGATTGAGTGTTCATTGTCATCACCTTTTAGCTTAATAAAAAAATACAATGTATTAAAAATTAATTCAGTTAAAGTTTTTATATATTATAAATAAAAAATCTATAATCTCTCAATGACTATCGAAATATTATTCAATTGACTTATACTTGATTATATTTATGTTTATAATTTGTTTCAAAAATTTCTAATATATATTAAATTATATTTTAATAAAAATTAACGTTTAAATTAATAATTGAATTGAGAAAAGAATTTATTAATAGTAATGATATTTTAACAGTTTAATTAAATATTTTAAACATTTAGGAACCAATATAAAATCTAAGCTATAGTTTGAGGGTGTTGATGAAATTAATCCTTGTACTTTATCACAAAAGTTTCAGTCCTTAAACTCCTTTTACTTCCCAATTCCCAGTACACAAAATTTGAAATCAAAATCGAAGAGTCTCTGTGATTGGATTGAGATTTCAGGTAGGTAAATTTGAACCCATCATTATATTTGCGTATGAATTATCATCATGCAAATCTATCTCTTGCTTTACATACAATTCAATTAATATTTTATTTATGTATTCTTTGAAATTAATCAAAGTTGAAACTTTCAATCGAACTAAGAAAGTTCTTGAATCATCTCTGACTATTTGTCCAGGCAGCCATTAAAAAAAGTCTCCAATTGACACCTTCAAGGCTTTCAACGAGTTGAATCCTTCTCTGTTCGTCATCAATGGCGTCAAATCAATCACACAAATTTTGAACTCTGTCATACTTCAAAGCTATCTATTTGTTCTTCGTTTTTGTTTTGTTTGTTTTAATCGAATATGCCGAGTTTACCTGTGAAACTCTATAGCATCTTCTTCAAGTTGCAGCAAAGATATGCTCTTCATAATATCGCGAGAGCTCCGATTGATGGTGCCGATCCTTTTGGTGTAACTTCGCGGCGTGCGGAATCGACTGCTGCCAGCAACCCTTCCTTCACCGACGGGATCGCCACCAAAGACATCCACATCGACCCTTTTTCTTCTCTCTGTATCCGGATTTTCCTTCCGGATACGGTGGTTCACGACCCGACAATATACGAAGACAGAAGCAAAGATTGTGCTTTTGTTTACAGTGGATATTGTCCTCAGCCGGGAACAAAGCACAAGAAATTACCCGTGGCGTTACAATTTCACGGCGGGGCTTTCATCGGTGGAAGCAATGATAGTGTAAGGAATGACTTGTTCTGTCGGAGGATTGCCAAGCTTTGCGATGTGATCGTCGTTGCGGTTGGCTATAGACTGGCGCCAGAGAGCCGGTATCCGGCGGCATTCGACGACGGTTTGAAGGTGTTGAATTGGTTAGTGAAGGAGGCAAATTTGGCAGAGTGTGGGAAGTGGATGGGGAATGGGAGAAGGAGAATGGATGCTCATGTTTTCGATGGGTTTGGTGCTTCCATGGCTGAACCTTGGTTAGCTGCTCATGGAGATCCCTCTAGGTATGAACTCAGTTCTTCGCTTTTCGATCAATTTGATTCATTTCTATTAGATCAAGTCGTGCTGATAACGTGTATATATTGTTTTCTTTGAGTGTCGTTCAAGTATCGATTTGGTTCTAATCATTAAAAACTTGTTAAACTAATGAATCATTTGCTTGTTCATTACTGAAAAAAGTTGCAATCAAGAATAACTAGTGATTTAGTTGAAAATTCCCTATTTGAATCTTAGATAAATTCGAGTTATTTTGGTTCGATCCGATCTAGGAATAGGGAAAGGGATTGTAAATGTGGTGATTTGAATTACAGATTTCATTACATGATTCAACAAGGTTATAATTTGGCTTCTTGTAGTTAACTCGTTCCTTGCTTGTCAGTTAATCATGCTGGCCGTGGTATTTTTCTCTCTTTTTAATCGGCTCTCTTGGTCTTGTCGTCGAAGCAGATGCGTACTTCTCGGGGTAAGCTGTGGTGCGAACATAGCGGACTACGTGGCTCGAAAGGTGGTTGAGGCAGGGAAGCTTTTGGATCCGGTTAAGGTGGTGGCACAAGTCCTGATGTATCCGTTTTTCATCGGGAGCAGTCCGACAGCTTCCGAAATTAAACTGGCAAACTCCTACGTCTATGACAAGTCAACATGCTTGCGGGCATGGAAGCTTTTTCTACCCGAGAAAAAATTCAACCTCGATCATCCTGCTGCCAACCCTTTGATCCCTGGGCGAGAGCCTCCTCTGAAGTTCATGCCCCCAACACTGACGGTTGTTGCAGAACAAGACTGGATGAGGGATCGGGCCATTGCTTACTCCGAGGAACTTCGGAAGGTGAACATAGACGCCCCGCTTCTCGAATACAAGGATGCAGTTCATGAATTTGCAACTCTAGAGGTTCTCCTCCAGACACCACAAGCACAAGCCTGTGCTGAAGATATTGCCATATGGGTCAAGAAATACATATCACTCAGAGGCCATGAGTTTTCTTACTGAGCAGATCGGAAAGGAAAAACGAGAAAGCGCAAAACGGTCCATATCGCAGCAACAAGGTCCGCAATTTTGCATGACGAGGGTATATAGTTTCCGGTCGCAGACTTGTTCATTTCAAATGCCTATTGGTTTGAGAGCCCTTGCCTCCTCTTTGTTCATATTCTTTGGATTTCAGCTACAATTTTCACTAGGAATATTCATTTGTTCATATTATTTTATTTCAACATTGGGATGTATTATAGTGTATGAAGGAATGAACCCATATTGCCCATGCCCTGCCGGGCTTGTGTTACCATCATCGGAACTCGGTTGTATAAATATAAAAAATCAATGTCGAAGATGCTGTTAAAATATTATCACTAACATTTTGTTTTTGATATCGTTTTGGTTACTTGTAGTTAAAAAATTAATAGTGATGATGACGTGTTACTCTAAAGTAATGTCACATTATTATTGAAAAAGAAATTAAAATTTATTATATCAACAATTTTTTTTAACGGTAAGTGATTAAAATGATTTACCCTAACATTTTCTATCCCGAGTTTGCTTCCCAATCACATTGTTCTTTGTTCACCGTTGGGACAAGTGTTTTTGCGATATGGTTGCATTTGGTTTAGTCTCATCCATCTCTTCAACTCGTTTTACAACTCAAATATTAATAAAAATCAGAAGGGGTTAAGGTTCTTAATACAAATATAAAAACAGGTGATGATTGTTTTTAACTGGGGATGAAGAACCTGTTAAAGAAATTAAAATATCCAAATAAACTCTAAACATTATTTCGAATGGTGTTAGAATCAAGAGTTGGATACTAATCGATACTTCGAATGGTGTTAGAATCAAGAGTTGGACAAGTAAATTTTCTGGCACTGCATCAAACATGCATTTTGTGGTTATCACAATGAAGAATGTTAATTGCCCCATCTTAACTGACCAGAAGTATTGTCCATGAAATAAATGCAACATGAATGTACGTGGATACTTATGCACACCCTAATACAATGAAAAGAGTTGATCAATCATCTAATTACTATTTTGATCATGCAGGCAGAATCAAAAGTTACACTAAACAACATTAACTTCAAGAACATTCGTGGCGCGACTAAACTTTCAGAAGCTGTCAAACTTGTTTACAGTGATACTTTACCTTGTGAAAATGTAGAACTCGTCGAGATTGATGTTATGTATAGTGAACCAGAAAGATATGTAGTATCCGACTATAAAAATGTCAAACAAAAAATTATTGGTTTATTAAAAATTATAATCGTTAATAATTAGTCCTTCATTAAAATTTAGTTTTAATTATAATAAAAATATAATTAAATCATTTTTTATTAAAAATTATAATTAATTTAAAATTTTATTTGTTTATGATTCAAACGCTTAATTCATATAAGTTTACAGATTCATCAGCAACAGTAACATCAAGAACCAATTGCCCAACCTGAGTTTGCTTTCACATCTTCATGGACACCATTCGGCCTCATGTCTTCTTGATTGGACCAGAAGGATGAATATTGCAATTGGCTCCGCTGAAGGAATTGGACCCCATTTTCTTTTCTATTCTAACTTGTTCTAAGGAGAATGCTAACCCAACCTCTTTCACTTGATCACTTCAGTTATATTCAACCTCACACATTATCCATAGAGACATCAAATCTAGTAAATAATGAATTGTTCAAGAACTCGGCTGCTGTTTGTGATGCTTGGTTTATGAATTAGAAAATCGTTTTCTTATAATGTGTAATCTAGAAGAGTTAATCTCATTGACATATAATGTCCATCTCACCAAAATTATGAAGCTCATAAACCAATATCATGAAGTAAAGGTTTTCCATGCGATGAAAACGGTTTCTCGACGATAAACAATGGTCGCCGGATGTTGATTTTTGATATTGTTGTTGATGATGAATCTACAAAGTTACATAAATTAAGTGTTTGAATCTTGCACAAATAAAATTCTAAATTAATTATAATTTTTAATAAAAATCATGATTCAATTATATTCTTATTAGAATTAAAACTAAATTTTAATAAAGGATTAATTGTCGATATATCATTAGAATTTTTAATATTTATTTAATAAAGATAATTTAATTAATGGTATATATCAGTGTGTCATATTTACTTAATATGACATACCGAATCTGGACACTTTGATTCCTTTTTCACCATCTCCGTAATGAGTTTTTTCTTTACTTGCTCTTGTATCTGTTTACTTTATAATCTTTGGTATGGTAAATTGTCAGCCTAACAAGGCTTATACCAGCTAAAATCTATGTGAGTACTTGCTGGACTTGTTGGTATTTTGATGCTTGTTTAGCTGATAGGAACTGAATTTGATTTCGGCTATTTAGTGCTATATTAATGCTGCATGTTTATGACAAGGTTTCACTTCAAAAACAAATAGAAGTTGGGGGATTTGGCCTTTAATCTTTAGTCTAACATTAGGCTATGTGTGCTGCTTGGATGTTGATTTTGAATGTCATTTAGATGTCTCCACTTTCATTCTTCTATGCGCCTGTGTTGTTGTGGTTATACGGCCGCCGCAACTTCGGATGCCGAGAGCAGTGCACATCTTCAAATGAAATTATGAAATTGGTGTACAACCATTTGGCCCTTCTTTCTGTTTTTGCTACAATGGATGGATAGTACGCAGATGAGAGATCAAAGATATCTACACATGGAAGGAAGACAACAATTAGGGAATTTTTATGGCATGCATATGATTATTTGTGTGTGTTTTCATGCTTTAATGAACTTATAATTTGCTGCTTTTGTGATTCGTTTGCCTTATCAATGTACCGTTGTCTAATTGATCGCATTGTAGGTGTTATATTGCCATCTATTCAAATGCTTCATGGTTGCTTGAGGGAGTTGGATGACGATAAGGAAAGGCGTTTTATAATAGAGAGTTTCGGTAAGAGAGGATTCGAGCATATTGACTTGGAGAGGGAAGATGAATGTGGGATTTGCTTGGAGCCTTGCGCCAAAATGGTCTTACCAAGTTGTTTTCATGCAGTGTGCATCAAATGCTACCGGAACCTGTAATCGGAAACCACTACCTCTTGCATTTCCATGCTTTCAAGTTTCTGTTCGTGGTTATTATTCCATATTACAGGAACATGAAATCAGATTCCTGTCCTTGTTTTAGTTTCAATGATATTAGATATTTGGAGAAATGAAAAGTCCGAGTAACACAAATTGAAGTCTATGGAGATCGAAAATAGAATAAGAAAGGGCGACAAAAGCCGCCACCATATCATCTAATAAAGTGCAGAATGATACATATTTATTACATCTTGAAGTCTATGGTGCATCACTCTTGCTCTACCAATGTGAAGAAGGGATGTATGTGGACTATTTTATTGACAAAATGTATATACAAGAATGAGCCTATGGATGAGAGGATTGAAGTAAGGTACATTCCTTGTTGACGAGTTCGGAGAAAGGTGGTTTGCAAAAGCCATCATGGAGGAAGAGAAGAGATATTTGTTTATGCATTGCTTCTGTAAGATGAAGTCCATCCCAATGGATGTAACTATCAGGGTTGCTGCAAGTGTTGGTGCCAGGCATACCGCATAGAATGTCCAAGTTAAAGTTGAGTCCACCCCCGACGCCACAGCATGTGTCGACTCCATCTGAAAAACCAAACCTAGAGAGGTTTCCCATGATTGTCTTGAATGCGTTGTAATAGTCGGCATATGCGATTATAGATTCAGAATGTATTTTTTGGAATTCGTCCAATGTCTTCTGTAAAAGATCATTGTGAGCCATTGCTGCTTTATTGATAACCTCGGAACACCCCATTTCGTCCTTGGCAAAATGGGGAGCTAATAACTTGGCTAATGGCCAACACCCCACCGGTGGTAGTCCTTGAACCACGATGAACTTTGCACCACTATCCAACACCGTCTGCAACAAAAACAAAGTTTCAAGTTCATATTTCAGCATATTTGATGCTAAACCTGATAATATCAGACAAGATATAAGTACCGTGAGGATTTTGAAAATTTGATCAAGAGTTATATCGGTGAGCCACCGCAAGGAAACAGAAGACCCGATAACACGGGCAAAGTCATCTGCACCCATTTGTCCAATCCAAATGAGGTTGTTTCCCATTTGCGCCTTGCATTGTTCTGTGATTTTCCCATTGCAGGCTTTTTCTGTGAAGAACTGGTTGAACCATTCTATTTGTGTTTGGAAACCTAATGGAGTGCCTTGCCACACAAAGTTATTGGAGACCTTGTGAGCACTAAAAAAATCACTCGAAAGAGAAGTCGAACCCCCAACTGCGAAATTCACTCCATAATTTTCTTTGATATCAGGGTTCTTGGAAGCAACTTCAAATGGTGGCAACACAGATATGTTAAGAGAATCACAAAGAAAATCAATAACCAAGCAACCATTACTTGATCTACCATTAAACTCAAGGTTTGAGTGCATGGTTTGATCAAATTATGATAAAAATTCACTCACAAAGCTTTTCATAATGCCTAATGATTGGGCATTTCCGGTGTCGGTGTACGAGTCTCCAAAAGCAAAAACCTTGGAAAAACTATGACTAAATTGGCTTTTGTCAAAATCCATAGAAATATCAGAACCTGCGGAAGAGCCAGAGTTTGTAGAACCTTGAGCATCGTAAGAATTAGTGCCTATGGATCCGGTGTATGCCGCAGAGTGGCTAGCTGTTGCAGAAGAACCGCTGTGTGTAGGTGTCGCAGAAGAAAAACCAGTTTGTGCCGCAGAGTGACCAGATGTCACAAAAGAACCGCTTTGTGTCGCAGAGTGATTAGATTTTGCAGAAGAACCAGTGTGTGCCGAAGAGCCTGAACTTGTCTCACCAGAATTTGTATAAATATCACCCTTAGAAGAATCAACACCTGTGGAAGGACTCATAGTAGAACTAGAAGACGTAGAAGAACCAGTTCCTATGGAAGAACTGGAATCATCGGAATGTGATAAAGCCTGTGAATCTCCAAAATTGTTGGAACCTGAACCTGTGGAAGTGCTTGAATTACCGGAACTTGAACCTGTGGATGAGCTTTAACCACTAGAACCTGATGTACAATTCAAATTATTAGAATCCTTAGAATGTTTACAACATGATAACAATTATGAACTTGTGTATGTACCAGAGTTTGTGGCAGAGTTAAAAACACCAGAACCATTGAAGGAACCAAAATGGTTAAAAGAACCGGAGTGTGAAGATGAACTAGAATGGGACAATGACCCAGAAGTTGAACCAGAATGTGAGGATGAGACTGAACCCTTAGAATTGCTAGAACCTGATGAAGAGCCGAAACCTGCAGAGGAACCGGATGAGGAACCAGAACTTGACAAGGAACTAGAAGCTTCTGTAGATTTTAAAGTCTTAGAAGAGCTTTCTCCATTCGAATTACTAGAATCTAATGAGGAACCATGCTTTGTAGACGAATCAGAGGAACCAGAACTTGATTCTGACTTAGAAGAGTCAAAACCTTTAGAATCGTTAGAACCTGATGAATAATCAGAACTTGAAGCTCCAAAACCTGATAACGAATCTGAAGTTGTAGCAGAACTAGAATCCTTAGACTTGTTAGAATATATAGAAGAGTCGGAACCTTTAGAAGAACCAGAATGTGAAAATGAACTAGAATGTGAGGTTGATCCAGAAGCAGAACCGGAATGTGTGGTTGATCCGGAAATAGAACCGGAATGTGTGGTTGATCTAGAAACAGAACCGGAATGTGAAGATGAACCAGAACCCTTAGAATCATACGAACATGATGAAGAATGAGAATTCATAGCAGAACCAGTATCCTTAGACTTGTTCGAATCTGCAGAAGAAATAGATCCTTTAGAACAAGCGGAATGTGAAAATGAATTGGAATGTGAGGATGATCCAGAAACTTCACTTGAATGTGAGAAATATGAAGAACTATGACCCGTAGCAACACTGTGACTTGTAGAACCGGAATGTGAAGACAAGCCAGAATCCTTAGAACTGCTAGAACCTGATGAAGAACCAGATCTTGAAGATGAACTTGAAGCCCCAAAACCTGATGACGAGTGAGAAGTTATAGCAGAACCAGAATCCTTAGACTTGCTCAAATCTCCGGAAGAGCCAGAACCTTTAGAAGCTGAATGTGAAAATGAACTTAAATGTGAGGATGATCCAGAAGCTGCTCTTGAATGTAAGAAAGATGAAGATCCTGTTGAAAGTAAAGTAAAAAATGGGGGGCTGGATGGAAGTCAACAATAGCAGGCAAATTTTCAGTGGGCAGTAATTTATTCGGTACATGTGGTGCATTAATGCATCGAAAAATTGGTTAAAAAAAGTATGGGATAATTACACTTTAGTTATTGTAATTTAGGATGTTTTCAAAGATTAGTCCCTAAGCTTCAACTATAAATACTCTAGTCTATTTAGCTTCAAAATCATCCCAAAATCTTCCAGTTCTCTCTCAAGTGTGTTTTGTAAACACCTGTAATTGTTTCTTTTGTAAAAGATCTGCAGCAGTCCGGAGACGTAAGCACAATTGGCTGAACTCCGTTATCAATTTTTCGGGTATTATTTTTCGCTTTTATTTTGTATTCTCACTAATCTGGCTATAGGGAAATTAGTTGTTACTCATTTATTTTCCAACAACTGGTAATCAGAGCTTTTGGGTTGTGAATTTTGTCAATTTTTTGCGAGGTTACTATTTATTACTATTCAAGTAAATAGTAAATTTCATGAATAGTGAAATTTTTTCGGCGATACGAATTTATCGACAGAGGTGTTATAATACACGGTGGTTCGCACAAATTGTCAGAAACGATCCGAAGAAGCCAGATTCGAGTGGGAGCGATAGCTGCAGACGAAGGGAATGTGAAAATTGAAAAGTTCGATGGTGCAGACTTTGACTTTTGGAAGATGCAGATCGAAGATTTTCTGTACCATAAATATATATATCAACCCCTCTCAGGAAAACAACCAGAGGGCATGAAGAATGAAGACTGGGCTCTTCTCGACCGACAAGCCCTCGGAGTTATCCGACTGACGTTGTCCCGAAATGTTGCTTTCAACATAGCAAAGGAAAAGACCACAGCGGATCTTATGGCGGTTCTCTCCAGTATGTATGAGAAGCCATCGGCCTCAAACAAAGTTCATTTGATGAGGCGATTATTCAATTTGCGGATGACGGAAGGGGCATCATTAGCTCAACACCTGAATGAACTCAACACAATCACAACCCAGTTGAGTTCCGTGGAAATTAAATTCGATGATGAAGTTCGAGCTTTAATTCTCTTATCATCTATACCAGACAGTTGGAATACTACTGTTACAGCAGTTAGCAGCTCGTCGGGAAATAGTAAATTGAAATTTGACGATGTTTGGGATCTGGTACTGAGCGAAGAAATTCGACGGAGAGAATCGGGTGAAGCATCAACCTCCTCAGCCTTGCACACGGAGTCCAGAGGGAGAACTTCATAAAGAAATTCAAATCGTGGCAGATCGAAATCCAGACGGGGAAAATCAAGAACGGGAAAGAAAGATTTTACCTGTTATAATTGTGGCAAGAAGGGTCACTTTAAAAGGGATTGTCGAGCACTGAAGAAAGATACCGGCGTACAGGAATATGCAAACATGACAGAGGAGACAGGTGATGCCATGATTCTAAGCGTCAACAGTCCGATTGAATCCTGGATCTTGGATTCAAGGGCATCTTTCCACTCCACCCCATGCCGAGAAATCATGGAGAACTATGTTAGTGGTGATTTTGGGAAGGTTCATCGAGCCGATGATGAAACCTTGAAGATCGTCGAAAAAGGAGACATCCGATTAAAGTTGTCAAACCAGACCACCTGGACGCTGAAAGGAGTGAGACATATTCTTTGCCTCAAAAGAAATTTGATTTCTATAGGACAGCTTGATGGTGAAGGATTTAGCACAACTTTTTCAGGCTGTGAATGAAAGATTACTAAAGGAGCACTCGTCATTACTCGTGGTAAGAAAACTGGTACTCTCTATATAACCTCAAATTTAGAGAATATCATTGCAGTAGCAAATGCTGATGGAAAATCAAACATATGGCACCAAAGGCTTGGCCATATGAGCGAGAAAGGGATGAAGACACTTTTGTCAAAGGGGAAGTTATCGGATCTAAAGAATGTAGATGTCGGACTATGCGAGGATTGCATCTTTGGCAAACAAAAGAAAGTCAGCTTTGCAAAGATTGGTAAGACACCCAAGGCTGAAAAGTTAGAGTTGGTTCATACTGATGTATGGGGACCATCTCCAGTTCCATCTCTTGCAGGCTCATTATATTATGTCACCTTCATCGATGATTCTACAAGGAAGGTGTGGGTTTATTTTCTGAAGAAGAAATCAGAAGTCTTTGATACCTTTAGAAAATGGAAGGCCATGGTGGAAAATGAGACTGGTCTGAAAGTTAAGAGGTTGAGGTCTGACAATGGAGGAGAGTACAAAAATAGGAGATTCAGAGATTTCTGCGCAAACAATGGGATCAAGATGGAGGCAACAGTTCCCATGACACTACAGCAGAATGGAGTAGCAGAGCGCATGAACAGAACTCTGAATGAACGTGCCAGAAGAATGAAGATACATGTCGAATTGCCCAAATTTTTATGGGCTGAAGCTATCAACACTGCAGCTTACCTGATCAACTGTGGGCCCTCAATTCCTTTAGATGGCAGAATACCATAGAAAGTTTGGAGCAAGAAAGAAATAAACCTTTCACACTTAAGAGTGTTTGGTTGTATTTCTTATGTACACATAGACTCGGCTGAAAGAAGTAAATTTGATGCTAAGTCCAACAAATATGCCTTTGTTGGTTACGGCTGTGATGAGTTCGGTTAGCGGTTTTGGGACTATGAAAATCGAAAGATCATCAGAAGCAGAGATGTCATTTTCAATGAGAATGTGATGTACAAAGACATGTCAACTGTAGAATCAAGCAGCTTCAATACCAAAGCTGAAACAAAGAAATTTGCTGAGTTCGAGGAGATTTCTGAAAATGATGTTCAGATCAGTCCTGAAGCAGTTCAAGAAGAACCAGGCACACCGGAACTAAGACGCTCCTCCAGAATTCCTAAACCAACCCAACGGTATTCTCTTTCTTTGCACTACTTGTTACTGACTGACAATGGTGAACCAGAGTGCTATGATGAAGCAATGCAAGTGGAGGATTCAGTCAAGTGGGAGTCTTCCATGAAAGATGAGATGGTCTCACTTATGTCAAATCAGATGTGGGAATTAGCTGAATTACCACCAGGCAAGAAAGCGCTTCACAACAAGTGGATTTACATGATCAAAGAAGAGCACGATGGGAGCAAACGTTACAAAGCGAGATTGGTTGTCAAAGGTTTTCAGCAAAAGGAAGGTATTGACTACAATGAAATTTTCTCTCCAGTTGTGAAACTGTCTACTATCAGACTGGTGTTGAAAATTGTAGCTGCAGAAAATCTACATCTTGAGCAGTTAGATGTAAAGACAGCTTTCCTTCATGGTGATTTGGATGAAGAAATCTATATGAGGCAGCCAGAAGGCTTCATAGAGGCATGAAACAAAAACCTGGTATGCAAGTTGAAGAAGAGCTTGTATGGTTTAAAACAAGCTCCTAGACAGTGGTACAAGAAGTTCGATAGCTTCATGAGTAGCAGTGGTGTTACCAGATGCCAAGCAGATCATTGTTGCTACATCAAGAGGTTCGACAACAACTTCATTATTTTATTGTTGTATGTTGATGACATGCTCGTTGCAGGCTCAGACATGCAAGAGATTATAAACTTGAAGCAAAAATTATCGAAGCAGTTTGCAATGAAAGATCTGGGCGCTGCAAAGCAGATTCTTGGGACGAGGATCAATAGAGACTCAAAATCGGGGACTTTGATGTTATCACAGGCTGAGTACATTAACAAAATACTCTCCAGGTTCAACATGCAAGATGCTAAACCAGTAAGTACACCTTTAGGTGTTCATTTTAGACTCTCCAAAGAACAGTCACCAAAGACGGAGGAAGAACGTGCACACATGGTGAAGGTGCCGTATGCCTCAGCAATTGGAAGTCTGATGTATGCCATGGTTTGTACCAGACCAGATATTGCTCATGCAGTGGGAGCTGTTAGCATGTACATGAATAATCCTGGCAAGGTACACTGGGAAGCTGTCAACTGGATCCTCAGATATCTGCGGGGTACTACAAATAAAGCACTTTATTTCAAAGGTGGAGATACGATACTGACAGACTATGTAGATGCTGACTTAGCCGAAAATGTTGACATCAGAAAGAGCACTACAGGGTATGTTTATACTCTAGAAGGTACTACAGTGAGTTGGGTTTCTCAACTACAGAAGATAGTTGCTCTCTCCACAACTGAAGTAGAATATGTCGCTGTTATGGAAGCCAGCAAGGAGATGGTTTGGCTCCAAAGTTTCTTGGAAGAGTTAGGCAAGAAACAAGAGAACAATGTCTTGTACTGCGATAGTCAAAGTGCTATACATCTAGCAAAGAATCCGTCTTTTCATTCCAGAACAAAGCACATACAATTGAGATATCATTTTATCCGGTCTCTTCTGGAAGATTGGATTTTGAAACTTGAAAAGATCAGTGGAGCTCAAAATCCGACAGACATGTTGACAAAGACAGTGACCACAGATAAACTGAAGTTGTGTTCAACTTCAGTTGGAATGCTAGAATAACAAGACTAGAAATGCTGCTGCATTGATCGATGTGTGAAGAAAGATTAAAATCAGTCTTCAAGTGAGAGATTGTTGAAAGTAAAGTCAAAAATTGGGGGCTGGATGGAAGTCAACAATTGCAGGCAAATTTTCGGTGGGATTTGTAGAAATTTATTCGGTGCATGTGGTGCATTAATGCACCGAAAAAATTGGTTAAAAAATGAGCATGAGATGTTGACTTTTATTATGAGATAATTACACTTTAGTCATTGCAATTTAGGGCATTTTCAAAGATTAGGCCCTAAGCTTCAACTATAAATATACCCTAGCCCATTTAGCTTCAAAATCATCCCAAAATCTTTCAGTTCTCTCTCAAGTGTGTTTTGTAAACACCTGTAATTTTTTTTCTTTAGTAAAAGATCTACAGCAGTCCGGAGACGTAAGCACAATTGGCTGAACTCCGTTATCAATTTTTCGGGTATTATTTTTCCGCTTTTATTTTGTATTCTCACTAATCTGGCTATAGGGAAATTACTTGTTACTTGTTTATTTCCCAACAGATCCATGACTTGTAGCAACACTATGACTTGTAGAACCGGAAAGTGAAGACAAGCCAGAACCCTTAGAATTACTAGAATCTGATGATGAACTAGAACTTGAAGCCCCAGAACCTGATGAAGAGTGAGAAGTCATAGCAGAACCACAATCCTTAGACTTGTTGGAATCTGGGGAAGAGCCAGAACCTTTAGAAAAAGCGGAATGTGAAAATGAACCGGAATGCGAGGATGATCCTGAAGCTGAACTTGAATGTGATAAAAATGAAGAGCCATGACTCGTAGCAACATTATGACTTGAACCAGATTGTGAAGATGAGCCAGAACCTTTAGAAGAAGCGGAATGTGAAAATGAACCGGAATGCGAGGATGATCCTGATGCTGAACTTGAATGTGAGAAAAATGAAGAGCCATGACTCGTAGTAACATTATGACTTGAACCAGATTGTGAAGATAAGCCAGAACCTTTAGAATTGTTGGAATATGCGGATGAACCATAACTTGTGGAGGAACCTAAAGCTTCAGAACCAGATAAAGAGTGAGAAATGTTAGTAGAATTATAATCCTTAGACTTGTTAAAATCCGAATAAGTGCCAAAACCTTTAGAAGAAACGAAATGTGAGGATGAACCTGAAGCTGAACTTGAATGTGAGGAAGATGAAGAGCCATGACTCGTAGAACCAGCTTGAGCTACAGAACTGGAATGTGAGGATGAGCCAAAACCCTTAGAATCACTAGAAGCTGATGATAAACCAGAACTTGTAAAGGAATTCGAAGCCCTAGAACCTAATGAAGACTGAGAAATCCTAGTATAATCGAAATCCTTTGAACCTGTAGAAGCGTCAAAACCTTTTGAATTCCCTTTTGAAGTCGTAGCAGAATCAATATTCTTAGACTTGTTAGAATCCGCAGAAGAGCCAAAACCTTTAGAAGAAGCAGAATGTGAGGATGATCCTAAAGCTGAACTTAAATATGAGAAAGTTGAAGAGCCATGACTTATAGCACCAGCTCGAGTTGCAGAATTGGAATATGAGGATGAGCCAAAACCCTTAGAATCGCTAGAAGCTGATGATGAACCAGAACCTGCAAAGGAATTAGAAGCCCCAGAACATAATGAACACTGAGAAGTCTTAGTAGAATCATAATCTTTTGAGTTATTTGAATCTGTGGAAGAGTCAGAACCTTTAGAAGTTGTAGCAAAATCGGAATCCTTAGACTTATTTGAGTCGGCTGAAGAGCTAAAACCTTTAGAAAAAGCGGAATGTGAAAATGAATTGGAATGTGATGATGATCCTGAAGCTGAACTTGAATGTGATAAAGATAAAGAGCCATGACTCGTAGCACCAGTGTGAGTTACGGAACTGGTATACGATGGTGTCCCAAAACCCTTAGAATCACTAGAAGCTGATGATAAACCAGAACTTTGAGAGAAATTTGAAGCCCCAGAACCTACTAAAGATTGGTAAGTATCTGTAGAACCATAATCCTTTGAGTTGTTTGAATCTATTGAAGACCCATAACCTTCAGAAGAAGCTGAATGTGAAAATAAATTGGAATGTGAGGATGATCCTGAAGCAGAACTTGAATGTAAGAAAGATGAAGAGCCATGACTCATAGCACCATCGTGAGTTCCGGAACTAGAATGTGAGGATGAGTCAGAAACCTTAGAATTACTAGAAGCTAATGATGAACCAGAACTTGTAGAAGAATGTGAAGCCACAAAACCTAATGGAGATGGGGAAGTCTCAGTAAAACCGGAATCCTCTGAATTGTTTGAACCTATGGAAGAGTTCGAACCTTTATAAGTTGTAGCGGAATTAAAATCTGTTGAGTTAATCGATTGACAGAATTGGCCAAGAGGGGGGTGAATTGGCAATAAAAATTTTGGTTGAAGCTTTTGCAGAAAATTGAAAGAAATTGCACAGCGATTTAGAGTGGTTCGACTTTATCAACCAAAGTCTACGTCCACTACCTTAGCTATCCACACTAAGGATTTTCCAACAAATTCACTAATTTGTTCTTTCTTTTGAGGCCAAAGAGATAACCTTACAACTCTCTCAAGAATATACCCCAATTCTTGAGAACACTCTTTTCTCAAAGAGAAATACAAATTTGCAAACTTACAAGAAAAACCTCACAAGGCAAATATGTTTGCACAATTCTAGAACAAAGAAAGAATACTCAAGAATAAATACAATTGAGCACAATAAGTGTTCTTGAAAGCAAAATGAATATTGAATGAAAAATAGGCTTGAAATGCTCAAACTTGAGGTTTGATGCTTTTTCTTTGATTCTCTCTTGATTCTAGTTGCTTGATGTTTCTTGTTATTGATCAATGGCTTCTAAGCTTGCTTAAATACATCTTGAATCACTTCTGAACGTTGGGGATGATTAGAGAAGATACTATAGCCGTTTTAGTGTGAAAACAATTAATAAAATAGCTTGGAGTGTGGGGGGAATCGGTACCCCCTATGGGGAATCGGTTCCCTAAGTGTAAAATTCAAATATTTCGACCGTTATACAAGGGGGGAATCAGTACCCCTGGGGGAGAATCGGTTCCCTCCGAGCATACTGGAATTCTCGGAGCCAAACCATGAAGGGGGAATCGGTACCCCCTTGGGGGGAATCGGTTCCCTCTGAGCAATCTAGAATTTTTGGCTTTGAAATGGTTCGAAATACTTTGTAAAATTATTTTGAAATTGTTTTAAGATTAAAACTTAATTTTACACTTGAGTAAGGATTAAAAATGATTTTTGAAAGATTTGGAGTAATGTTTTGAAATTCGAATAGTTATATCGAATATACTTAGAAAATCATTTGGAAAATCTTAAAATTTATTTAACTTAATTTGTTATATCGAAATATCAAAATGTTTTCAACAAAATCATTAGACTTGTTAGAATTTGTTAAAAAGCCAGAACCCTCAAAAGAAGCAGAATGTGAAAATGAACCGGAATGTGAGGATGATCCTAAAGCTAAACCTGAATGTGAGAAAGATGAAGAGCCATGACTTGTAGTACCAACATGAGTTGTCGAACTGGAATGTGAGGATATTCCTGAACCCTTAGATTCACTAGAAGCTAATGATGAACCAGATCTTGCAGAGGAATTCGAAGCCCCAAAACCTAATGAAGACTGGGAAGTCTTAGCAGAACCGGAATCCTTTGAATTGTTTGAATCCAAGGAAGACCCATAACCTTTAGACATCGTAGCAAAATTGGAATCATTAGACTTGTTAGAATCCGCGGAAGAGCCAAAACCTTCAGAAGAAGCGTTATGTAAAACTGAATCGGAATGTGAGGATAATCCTGAAGCTGAACTTGAATGTGAGAAAGATGAAGAACCATGACTCGTAGCACCAGCGTGAGTTGCAGAACTAAAATATGAAGATGAGCCAAAACCATTAAAATTGCTAGAAGCCGATGATGAGCCAGAACCTTCAGAGGAATTTGTAGCCCCAAAACCTGATGAAGACTGGGAAGTCCCTGTAGAATTGGAATCTTTTGACTTGTTTAAATCTACGGAAGAGTAAAAACCTTTAGACATCATAGCAGAACCAGAACCGTTTGACTTGTTAAAATCCGTGAAAGAGCCAGAACCTTCAGAAGAAGCGAAATGTGAGGATGATCCTGAAGCTAAACTTGAACGTGAGAAAGATGAAGAGCCATGACTCGTAGCACCAATGTGAGTTTCAGAAATGGAATTTGAGGATAAGCCAGAACCCTTAGAATCGTTAGAAGTTGATGATGAACCAGAACTTTTAGAGGAATTTGTTTCCCCAGAACCTAGTGGAAACTGGGAATTTGTTCCTGTAGAATTGGAATGTGAGAACGATGAAGAGCCATGACTTGTAGCACTAACGTGAGTTGCGGAGCTAGATCGTGAGGATGAGCCAAAATCCTTAGAACCGTTAGAAGCTGATGATGAACTAGAAGTCGTAGAGGAATTCAAAGCCTCAGAACCTAATGAAGACTGGGAAGTCTCAGTAGAACCGGAATCCTTTGAATTATTTGAATGTGAGGAAGATCCAGAACCTTTAGACATCGTAGCAGAATCGAAATTCTTGGACTTGTTAGAATCTGCTGAAGAGCCAAAACCGTCAGAAGGCACATTATGTAAAAATGAACTAGAATGTGAGGATGATCCTGAAGCTGAACTTGAATGTGAGAAAGATGAAGAGCCATGACCCGTAGCACCAGCGCGAGTTGCAGAACTTACATGTAAGGATGAGCCAGAACCCTTAGAATCGTTAGAAATTAATGATGAACCAGAACTTTCAAAGGAATCTGCTAACCCGGAACCTAATGAAGATCGGGAAGTCCCTATAGAATTGGAATCCTTTGAATTGTTTGAATCTATAGAAGAGTCAGAACCTTTAGAATTCGTAGCAGAATTGGAATCATTAGACTTGTTAGAATCCACGGAAGAGCCAGAACCTTCAAAAGAAGCAGAATGATTAAAAGAAGCAGAATGTGAAGCTGAACTAGAATGTAAATATAAGTTAGAAGCTGAACTTGAATGTGAGAAAGATGAAGAGCCATGACCCGTAATACCACCTTGATTTGCTGAACGGAATTGTGAAGATTCACCAGAACCCTTAGAATCATTAGAATCTGTAGTAGTGCCATAACCTCCAACAAAACCAGAATGATGAAAAGAAGCAGAATGTGAAGTTGAACTAGAATGTGAGGTTGAGTTAGAAGATGAACTTGAATGTGAGAAAGATGCAGAGCTATGACCCGTAGCACCACCTTGATTTGTAGAATCAGATTGTGAGGGTTCGCCAGAACCCTTAGAAACCCCGGAACCTGATGAAAAAGTAGAATTTGTAGAGGAACCAGAAGCCCCGAAACTTGATGAAGACTTAGAATTCACAGCAGAACCTGAACCATTAGAGTCATCAGAATCTACAGTAGTTCCCGAAACTTTAATAGAACCAGAATGATTAAAATAAGTGGAATGTGAAGTTGAATTGGAATGCGAGGATGAGTTAGAAGCTGAACTTGAATGTGAGAATGATGAAAAGCCATGACCCGTAATACCACCTTGATTTGTTGAATTGGATTGTGAAGATTCGCTAGAACCCTTTGAAGCATTAAAATTAGCAGTAGTGCCAGAACCTTCAATAGAACCGGAATGATGAAAAGAAGCGGAATGTGAAGCTGAACTAGAATGTGAAGATGAGCCAGAAAGTGAACTTGAATGTGAAAAAGATGCAGAGCTATGACCCATAGCACCACCTTGATTTCCAGAATTGAATTGTGAGGATTCTTTGGGACCCTTAGAAACCTCAGAACCTGATGAAGAATCAGAACTTGTAGAGGAACCAGAAGTCCCAGTACTTGATGAAGAATTAGAAGTCACAACAGAACCTGAACCTTTAGAATCATCAGAATCTGCAGCAGTTCCAGAACCTTTAATAGACCCAGAGTGATTAAAAGAAGCAGAATGTGAAGCTGAACTAGAATGTGAGGATGAGCTAGATGCTGAACTTGAATGTGAGAAAGATAAAGAGCTATGACCCGTAGCACCACCTTTATTTGCAGAATTGGATTGTGAGGATTGTCCAGAACCCTTAGAAACCCCAGAATTATTAAAAGTCACAGCAGAACTTGTACCTTCAGAATTATTAGAATCTGCAGTGGTTCCAGAACCTTTAATAGAACCAGAGTGATGAAAAGAAGCTGAATGTGAAGCTGAGGATAAGCTAGAAGCTGAACTTGAATGTGAAAAAGATGCAGAGCTATGACCTGTGGCACCACCTTGATTTGCAGAACTAGGTTGTGAGGATTCTTCAGAACCCTTAGAAACCCCAGAACTTGTAGAGGAGCCGGAGGCCCCGGAACCTGATGAAGACTTAGAAGTCACAGCAGAACCTAAACCTTCAGAATCATTAGAATATGCAGTAGCGTCAGAACCTTTAAAAGAACCAGAGTGATTAAAAGAAGCTGAATGTGAGCTAGAAGCCGAACTTGAATGTGAGAAAGATGCAGAGCTATGACCCGTAGCACCACCTTGATTTGTAGAATTGGGTTTTGAGGATTCGTCGGAACCCTTAGAAACCCCAGATTTTATAGAGGAACCGGAATCCCCAGAACTTGTTGAAGACTTAGAAGTCACACCAGGACCTGAACCTTTAGAATCATTAGAATCTGTAGTAGTGCCAGAACCTTCAATAGTACCAGAATGATGAAAAGAAGCAGAATGTGAAGCTGAAGTAGAATGTGAGGATGCACCAGAAGCCGAACTTGAATGTGATACAGAAGAAGAAGAGCCTTGGCCATCGTCATGTTTTGCCGAAAAGGATTGTGAACCCGAAAAAGAGTGGGAAGCTGCAGCAGAACTTGAATGTGAGAAAGAACCAGAATGTGAACATGAACCAGAATTCAACTTTACAGGAAGTGGATCAGAGATGCCCGGAGTCGAGTTCACATCCTGAAAATGTGCGAAGGAGAATGACAATGATAAGTAGAAAGCAATAAATAATGCCTGAAAGACGTGCTTTAAAATCATCGTCTTGTTTTTATATGTGTTTAAATGACGATGTTTATTTATTTTTATTTTTTCTTGCTTTAAGTTTATGTGTATTCAGAGTCTTTTACACGTATCGTTCCTGCTTAATATAGTGTATATGGAAGGGGTAATGCATGGAGTGTCATTAGTTTTAGGAGAACGTCGAGTTCTCTAGTTGTTTCAGGAGTTTGTGGTTTAGCAATTTTTATTCTTTGTTTTTTCCTTCGAATAAAAATAATGATAGTAATGATTATAATAATAATGATGATGTAAGAGAATATCAAATTCTTTTATTATTAAATTATCTTATTATTATAATTATTATTAAAATTATAAATACAACCCTTATTAAAAATCAAACTTATTTTACTTGATTTATGAAATTCATAATTCTTACTATGACTTAAAGTAATATATTGGATCATTGTATTAAATTCTTAGCATTTACATATGTTATCAAAGTTTTATTAAAAAAATGAAACAGCAAGAGAATACTTTTAATATATTGGGTGCATATATCGTTATATGTGAATAGCCTTAAATATTATTTTCATGACTAAGATATATGTAGTTTAAAATAATTTTATATATACCATAACTTTGAGTTAATTGTACAAAATATTTTTAAACTATAATTCTAATTTTTAAATTAATTTTAAACTTTAAAATATTTTATTTCCATTTTTACAATATCGTATCAATAAGATTTTTATGCGTTCTCCTATTACTTAGACATTATTACCGACACGGGTTCTAACAAAATGATGACATCTTTAATTGAGAATTAATATTTTAATAATAATCAATCTTAGTATTACAAATAACATTTAATATATAAAATATTCAATTAATCACATCACAAATATATTAGGAGTGTGTGGATCTCTCTCCCTAAATGATACTAATAAATATTTATATTTGAGGTTAATACGTGGTTAAACCGAATTTATTTTTTAAATGTTTTAATAACAACTATGTTAATTGAATAAAAAATTATTTTATAAATATTTTTTTATATAGGATATGAGCGGAATCAATAAAATATAAATATATTAATATTTTTTCTTCGTCATCTTTACACATAATTATTGTAGAATGAATTAGAATTCTTAAACTTGTTAGAATGCACAAATTTTCTTTCTTTTTTCCATTTTCTTTTCTTTTGTTTTTTTTTTCATTGTCGACATATTTTTTTTTGTCGACAATCCTTTTTCATCTCTATTACTCTCTCATTCTCTCTTTTCTTCCCTATCTACACCTCCTTTTTATGAGTCTTTTTTTTATATTGTTATTTTTTTCTCTTCTATTAGTTTGTTCAGCCTCCCATCTTTTCCATTCATCTTTGTCGCTCTAATAATTCAAAAATGTGATTTTCTTCGACAAATCTAAAAAATAAGAATTTATTGAATGTTTTGTTCATTGGTGACAATAATTTATCCATACTATTTCTCTATTTATTCTAGTCGCTTCAGTAAAAAACACAATTTCGGCTTCCTCCTCGAATAAATATTGGGAATTGTGGTTCGGTTGTAATAGAAATTTTTTTAAAGTGGTTATTTTGTTGCTTATTTTCTTCTTTTATAGTTTATTTTCTTTGTTGTTTCTATTTTGTTTTTTATTCTTGGATTAATTTAGATTTCCCTGTTGGGAGTTTGTTTCTTGAGGTGTCACATGTACGTTCATCTTGTAATAAAAACGTATACATTAATAGTCCAATTTTATGTTTTGTTCATGCTTCGAGTTGAGGTAAGATCCATATCATTATTCTTCGGACATTGAACGTTTATTTGTAACATTCTAAAATCGAATTGTGATATACGATGAGCCTAAGATGTTGTATTGGACCACCAAAATGATTATCAACTTTAAAACCTTTAAGTATTCAGACCAAATACATCAAATGCTTTCAAAATTCACATACTAAATAAAACAAATACATAAATAAAGTAAAAACGTTTATACAAATTCGAATCTCCAAGATATAATATGATCTGAAACGTAATACATCAAAATAATAGTAGAATTAAAAGCAGAAATATCAATAAGATGTTAGGAGTGCAAATATCCATATTAAAGTAAATTGAATATTGTACTTTAAATAGAAGGTACTGGAAATCGCTCGTCGACAGTGCTACTTTAACTGATATTTGATAAACTAACATGCAAATAAAAACATGTGAATGTTGAACTTTATAAGTTCAATGACATTTTTATTTTACTATACTTTATGTACTTTATAAATATAAGCATGCAACACAAGTATAAATAAAAAGACACGAATCCAAAAAAATTCCTCTATTTTTTTTATCACTTCATATATGATTGTTCTTTTTTTTTATAACTATTTTTTTATATACGACATACTAAAAATATTATTGTAAAAAAATTAAATTTTAATTTGGGTCGGAATCATTTAGATCTGAAATGGTTCGAGTTAAAATTATTTTTATATTTGTCATATTTTCAAATAAGGTAAAGTACATTAGATGTGATTGAATTATGTTTAAGCGATTATTGTGGTCACTTAACTTTTAAAAATAATAAAACAATCATTAAATTCATCGAATTATTATAAAATGATTATTAAATTTGTTAAACTATTATAAAATAATGTTAAATTTTATCTAACTATTATAAAATAATCATTAGATTTAAAAAAAATATAATTATTGTAACATTGTAATGACAATTTTGTAAATATTCAATCAATTTAGTGTTTATTTTATAATTTTTAAAAATCTAATAACTAAAATGATCACTTGACCATAACTCAATGTCTTTCCAATTTAATTTGTCCTTTCAAATATGACCCAATTTAGTTGAGATGATATGAACAAGAGAAAAAGGGACATCTTTGGAAATGAATCATTGACAATGGCGAGACTAGACGTTTGCATCTAATTGGAGCCAACCTCGTCGTCATGCATATTCATCAACGAAAAACGACAGCGTAAGGTCAAGAACCAAAACAAAATCATACGAAACAAAAACACAAAAAGAAATTACTTCCTTATGATTTACCGTATGATTTAAATCCAGGTAGAATCCATTTCACACCTTGATTTCGAGGGTTTTTATTAATTTATTTGTTCTTTTGTCTGTTTGGCGTTGGATTTTTCTTTCACATTTGATTAGTGTTGTTGAAGAAGGAACATGTTTTAATTATTATGAATTTATATGATGAGTAGGAGATAGAAAAATGTCTGAATTTCTCGATACAGAAAATTCCGGAGCTGATAATCGACCTCAATCTTTGACTGATCAGGTTCCTTTTTTTTTTACAATTTGTAATCGCAGTTTTGTTTTCCTTTTATTCTTGTCATCGTTGATAGAAAAATCTTTAATTACGGTTTTTTTTTGTTTCCAAAAATCAATTTAGGAAGAGCTGCTTCATGTTGATAGCAGAGAAGATCTGTTTATGGATGCTCCGGATGAGTTGAATGACAATAAGGAAGGTGGAACGCCGAATTCAAAAACGGCGAATGCAAGTCCGAGCGCTGCCTATTTGGAGGAAAAACAGGAGGCAGTAGCTAAACATTTTGATGAAATGCACAATAATGATAGTAATCAATTTTTCAATGAAATAGAGCGCTTGCAAGCTTCCCTCGAGCAGGCAGTTGATGAAAAAGAGAAACTTGAAGTCAAATACAAGGTTTAGTAGATTTGTCCAGATATGGGTCAATAATTTTTATGTTTTCAAAGTGATGCTTAGGGATTTAGTGTATGCAGGGAGAAATGGAGGTGCTCGCAAGGGAGGTTCATATAAAGGATCAAGAGATTGAAGGGCTGAATGCGAAGGTTACGAGCTCTGTAGCTGAAGCTGACAAGGAAGTTTATGCAGAGAAACACTGGAAAAGTGAGGTTGCAATGGAGAGGATTTTGGCTGCTCTTGGGTCAGTTGTTGATCAAGGTGATATTTTAGGTGATTCTGGCAGAGATCAGATTGATCTTGTTGAGAAAAGCAAGTTGGCATTAATCGAGAAGTATAACCAATTTCTTATTGAAGTTAATCAACTTAGGCAGTGTTTGACAAAGGCTGAGTATGATTTTGGTGTGCAGGAGTTTGGGACTGTATTTGTTGCGGCCTGTGATGAGGTATTTGAGTTGAGGAGGAAGGAAGCAGAGCTGATTGAAAAAATGGGTCTTTTGGAAGATGAAAATAGGAAATTGCTTGAACAAGTTGAAAATGAGAAATCAACAGTGGAGATTCTGAATTCGGAGCTTGGAAAAATGAAGACGGAGGTTGAACAGGAAAAGATGAAGCGTGCTAATGCTAAAGAAAAATTGAATTTGGCTGTGACTAAAGGTAAGTCATTGATTCAGCAGCGGGATGTTCTGAAGCAGTCCCTGGCTGATAAAACAGATGAGCTTGATAAATGTCTGGTCGAATTGCGAGAGAAGATTAGTGCCCTAGAGGCTGTTGAATTACATAAGGAAGAGCTGGTGAAAAGTGAAAACTTGGTTGCATCATTGCAAGAATCACTATCGCAAAAGACCTTGACCCTTGAGACATTTGAACACATCCTATCTCATCTTGATGTACCTGAGGAACTCCAATCAGTGGATATTGTTGAAAGAGTTAGATGGCTTGCTAATGAAAGAAATGAATTGAAGGATGTTGCATTGGACTTCTACAGATTGAAAGATACCATTTGTGCAATTGATTTACCTGAAAATATCTCCTTTCCCTATTTAGATTCTCGCTTGGCTTGGCTTAAGGAATGTTTTTACCTAGCTAAAGATGAAATAAATATGTTACAAAATGAATTGTCCAGAACAAAGGAAGTTGCAAGTGATGAGATAGATAAAGTGAGTGCATTAATTTTGACTATACAACAAGAGAAGGACTACATTAAAGAAGAATTTGATCACCTCAGAATTAAAAACGATGAAATTGTTGCAAGGGCAGAAGACATAGCATTGGACAAGGATCATTTAAGTGATTCACTTACAGCAGAACTAACTGAGAAGGATAAAATCCAAAAGGAGTTGGACGATCTCACAAATAAATATGAAAATGTAGTTGAGAAGGTCCATCAGCTTTCATCAGAGAAAGATCAGATGCTTCGGTTGTTGGTAGAGGGTTCCAGAAAAGTGATGGGGGATCAAGATGGGATTGAAGAGACATATTCTAATCTACCCATGTTAATTGATAGGTTCTTAGAGAGGATACAGGAACAAACAAGTCCATCTGTGGAGATTCCTTTTGTGGATACAGAACTATTTGACAAATATCAGTTTCTTTTGCATGTTAGGGATCTGGAATTGATGCTTTATAAGGAATTACTAGAAGAAGATATGATGGTGAGGTCACAACTGAATGATCTGTCGAATCTGTTCAAAGTAACTTCTCAGGAACTTTTTGCATTGAAGGAGGATAATGATATTTTGCAAAAAGATCTAGAACGAGCAGAGGAGAAATCTGGTCTGTTGAGGGAGAAGTTAACAATGGCGGTTAAGAAAGGAAAGGGATTGGTGCAAGAGCGGGAAAACTTGAAAGTTCTTCTGGAGGAAAAGAAGTCGGAAATTGAGAAGCTGAGGCTTGAATTACAACAGGAAGAGTCTAGAGTTGCTGAGTGCACAGGGCAGATCAGTACTTTGTCTGCTGATTTAGAGCGCATCCCCAAGTTGAAGAGCAACATTGCATCCATGAAAGTGGGAAAGGATAAACTTGAGAAGTTCTTGTTCGAGAGCAATAGCAAATTGCAAAGGGTAGTTGAATCTATCGATCGCATTGTTATTCCAGTTGACTCAGCATTTCTAGAGCCTGTAGAGAAGCTAAAGTTGCTTGTCGGGTATATTGATGATTGCCAGACTGCCAAGACACAGACTGAACTAGAGTTGAGGGAAGTAAAGGAAGAGGCTAGCACCCTGGCTAGGAAGTTAGCAGAGGACCAAGCAACTATTGATTTGCTAACTAACAAGTTTGCTGAGGCTTGCGAGGCTAGAAAGTCGCTTGAAGAGGCGTTGTCACTTGCAGAAAATAAAAATTCATTACTAATCAGTGAGAAAGAGGAGGTTCAAGGTAGCAAAGCTGTTTCAGAGATAGAAGTGGAGAAAATGAGAGAGGAAGTTACTTATCAGACCAGCAGACTCACAGAGGCATATAACACTATAAAGTCACTTGAAAATGCACTTTCTCTGTCAGAGGTGACGGTTAATTCACTAACTGAACAAAGCAACAATGCACAGGTGGAAATAACCAACTTGAACAATGAGCTGAAAAGACTGAAACATGAAATCCAGTCCCAGACTAGCCAGCTGACAGAAGGTGGCAAAACCATTAAATCACTAGAAGATGCATTGGTTAAGGCAGAAAATGACTTTTCGGCACTTCTAGACGAAAAACGAACTGCTGATCAGGAGGTATCAACCCTTAATTCCAAACTGAATGCGTGCATGGAGGAGTTGGCTGGTCATCTCAACAATCTTCAAGTGTTTGTCAAAGACCAAAGTTTGTTGTCTACAATGAAGCAATGCTTTGATAGGAACTTGGAGCGCCTTAAGCATTTGGACCTTACCATTAAGAACACAAGGGAGCATTTATTTGACAAGGATTTGGAACTTCTGCAAGGTTACCCCCTCATAGAGGTGATGCAAAATTTTCCTTTTTCTTTAGCTTATTGCCTTCTGGACACTGAATCACCATCTTTCCTCAGTTTCCTGAATGAGTAAAGAATTTGTTGCTCTTTTTAATTGTTTCTCCTTTTTTTTTTTCTTCACAGGATATTGCTAGTCTGCTGAGTCAAATCTTTGATGATACTGATAATACTTTTAAGTATTGAGATGGAGAATTCCGAAGCCAATGCAATAAATGCTGATGATTTTTCATGTTTTAGAAGGTTTACAGAAGTGTTTCAATTGCGAAATAAACTCCTTGCAGATAGGTTTGAAGGTTTTTCGAGCTTCCTGGATGAGTCATTAGCAGCCCTGTTAAGAAAATTACAGGCCACAGAGGATGAGGTGAAAAGTATGACCAAGAAAAAAACAAGAATATGATCAAAAGGAGTTGGAAAATCTCACTAGTAAATATGAAAAAGTAGTTGAGAAGCTCCATCAACTTTCATCGGAGAAAGATCAAATGATCCAGTTATTGGTAGAGGGTTCTGGAATAGTGATGGGGATCAAGAAGGGATTGAAGAGACTTCTTCTAATCTATCCATGTTGATAGATAGGTGCTTAAAGAAGATAACGAAACAAACAAGTGAATCATTGGAGATTCCTTTTGCGGATGCAGAACTTTTTGAAAATTTTCAGAGTCTTCTGTATGTTAGGGATCTGGAGTTGATGCTTTGTGAGGAGATACTGGAAGAAGATATGTTGTTGAGGTCACAACTGAATGATCTGTCAAATCAGTTCCGAGTAACTTCTCAGGAACTCTTTGCTTTGAAGGAGGAGAAAGATGTTCTACAAAAAGATCTTGAACAGTTAGAGGAGAAATCTGGTCTGTTGAGGGAGAAGTTATCAATGGCAGTTAAGATAGGCAAGGGATTGGTTCAAGATCGGGATAAATTGAAAGTTTTTCTGGAGGAAAAGAAGTCGGAAATTGAGAAGCTGAGGCTTGAATTACAACTGGAAGAGTCTAGAGTTGCTGAGTCCACAGGGCAGATCAGTACTTTGTTTGCTGATTTAGAGCGCATCCCAAAGTTGGAGAGAAACCTTGCATCTATGAAAGAGGAAAAGGATCAACTTGAGAAGTTCTTTTTCGAGAGCAATGGCAAATTACAAAGGGTAATTGAATCTATCAATCGCATTGTTCTTCCAGTTGACTCGGCATTACTAGAGCCTGTAGAGAAGCTGAAATTGCTTGCTGGGTACATTGATGATTGTCAGACTTCCAAGATACAGATTGAACAAGAGTTGAGGGAAGTAAAGGAAGAGGCTACCATCCGGGCTGGCAAGTTAGCAAAGGCGAGCATCCTGGCTGGCAAGTTAACAGAGGCCCAATCAACTATGAAATTACTTGAAGACTCATTGGCTATCGCAAAGGATGATTTCTCCCGACTTGCTGAAGAGAAAAAGGAGATGGAAATTGGTAAAAACAATACAGAAATAGAGTTACAGAAAGCAATTGAAGAGAGAGATGTATCCCAAAGCAGGGTTTTGAAGTTGGAGAGTGATGTAGGTGTGTTGGAAGTTTCATGCAGAGAAGCGAGGCTGAAGATAGAGGAATATCAAGCCAAAGAAGACAGATGGAAAGAAAAAGATGCAGAACTTTTGTCATCATACAATAGCTTGTTAATGAAAGAAAAAGGTAAATGTTTCCCTCTCACTTGGTTACTCTTGTGCTCTTGATGTTTAATTGTCAATACTCCATATTAAGTTGATTTTTTTATTGTTGTAGAAGCTGAAGAGCCTCTCCTGTCAGCATCTCAAACAAGAATTTTGTTGAAAAAGTTAAGTGGGATTGAAATTCCTCTTGTGGAGTCCGACAGCCTGGAACCCCATAGCTCTTCTGATATTAAGAAACTGTTTTCTGTTATTGGTAGTTTCACTGATTTGCAGAACCAATTAAATTTGCTATCTTAAAGTGTACGCTTTCAAGACAGAATTTTGAAATTGAGCATCTTAAAGAACAAATTGAAACACGTGTTACGAATAAGCCAGACTTGAAACAGATGAAAACGGAGCTGTTTGAGGTTACATTTGGTTTGGAAAAGATTATCGTTGTCTTGGGAGGTAAAGAGTTTATTGGAGACCAGAATCCTGTTGGTACAAAAACACTTTTGCCTGATTTAGAAAAGCAAGTTAAATCCCTGCTGTTAGAGGCTGAAAATTCAAAATCTAAAGCAGAGGAGCTTGGTACCAAGTTGGCCGGAAGCCAACAAGTCGTGAATGAATCGTCAACTAAGGTTAAGTTGCTTGAAGATTCTATACAGGGTAAGACTGTTCTTCCTGAGAATGTCCAGGAAAGGAGCATCTTTGAAGCACCTTCTGCTTCCACTGGATCAGAAATATCTGAAATTGAAGACCCAGTAAGTAATTATTTAACATGTTTCCAATTAATTCATTTTATTAAATTGATCTTGTCACTGAACTATATGGTTTGATGCATGTAAAATTAGCTTGTTTTGTTTAATTAGCATTTGAGTTATTATTGTTACTTCAATTTTGTAGAATCTAACTGGGTAAGAAGTTCTGAAAACATGCATATAAAATAAAGAGTTGGGATGGTTTTCTTCTTGGAAGATATATTATATGCGTGGCAATTAAAATAGACCTCTGATTTTCTCTTAGCGGCAGGTTCAAAATTTAATCATAAGTATGGTTCTTTAGTTCTAGGGAAATACAATAGATCACTTTTTTGTTAAAGAATCTGCTTCATTATTGCTGTACCATTGCTTTGACAGATTTATTTCTCTGACCTCATGTTCTTATGGCTATATAGTGAAACTTTCATGGGCCTAATCTTTGATCCTTCGCTTCGCTTATATTGTGTGTGTACATATTACTGGAGCATTTTCCAGTGATGTTTGTTGAAATTGCTTCGTTACTGTAGATGAGGATTTGAGCATGATTCCCCATTGTAACTGTGTGCGAATATGGAGGAAGGTGAATTAAGGAAAGCCTTTTGTGCTATGCTTGTTTTACGAAATAGTATGGAAAATATTTGAACTAGTCTGTGGATTCAGTGAAAGATATCATGTAACTTCTTGTACTGTCAAATAAGTGCTTAGCTTTACAATGACATTCATCATGTTTCTCCGAAAAAGAAACACTTGTATTTCATAAATTCGAAGCACCACTCTCATTTAAAGTTGAATGTCGGATTTCAATTGCCAATCCCATTCTTCGAGGCTCTTCTGTACATAAAACACTCTTAAACTCTGCTCTTATATTCTCTAATTACCTTAGATGCTTTTTCAGGGATCATATGGAAAGAACACAATGCCTCCTGTGCCCTTAGCTCCGCACGTCCGAAGTATGCGAAAAGGATCAACAGATCATCTTGCACTTAATATTGAACCAGAATCTGTTAGCTTGATCAACAGTGAGGAAACTGATGAGCAGAAAGGTTGGCATTCTCATATATATAGAAAGAATTACATCTAATGAGTACAAGTCTCTGATTTGCGGAACTTAAGCAGATGTCATTTTTGTTCTTTTTGACAGGTCATTTGTTCAAGTCCCTCAACACATCCGGTCTCATCCCAAAGCAAGGAAAGTTGATTGCAGATCCAGTCGATGGATTATGGTAAAATCTCTACCCAAATTATCTCATGGAAAGGGAAATTTTGTTTTCCCCGGAGTGAATATTCAAGTGCTGTCTAATTCTTACCGTATGCATTTGAATGATTTGTACTTGTTTTTGTATGTTACAGGGTATCCAGTGGCCAAGTTCTAAGCAGTCGTCCCAGAGCGAGGCTCGGCCTCATTGCCTACTGTCTTCTCCTACATATATGGCTACTCGGAACCATTTTATAATGAAGTTCGTGAGACCAACAATCCTCTGGTATTCCTATCTGCTTCCACAACGTTGCATCATGGATAAATATGGTAGCCATTCTGTTCGTTCCCATTCTTTTATTTATTTATTTTCTATAAAATCATGGATATATATTTAATATCCGCACTCTCAATTTTAGAATTGTGGAGGATGTAGGGTTCATACTTTTGAAGGCAACAATTGGTGAGTTGTTTCAAGTGAAGCGTTGCACATTATGATAGTTAATAGACTAAAATTAATAGCATATGATATATGTTGTTAACAGTTTTTCTTTTTCTTTTTTCTTTTTTAATTTGTCCTGCTTTTATCAGTTTATGTACAATTGGGTCACCCTAGAATAAAATGTTACAAGCGGAACTTCTCCCCTTCCCCCGCCAATTTTTTTTAAATATTAATTAATATTAAAAAATATTTTTTTTTGAAAAATAAATAAAAAAATTTATCCAGCACTCCTCAAGTAAAAGAAAATTGTATTTATGAAAAATAAAAAATAATTTGACCCGTTTTAATACATTCCTAGTTTCGATAGATAATTTAAATAATCTAAAATATAGAATATGCATAAGATCTAAATCTGATTGGTTTCGATCTAATCTTGTAGAATCGTGCTTTTTTATATAAAAGAAAATAGTATTCGGATCGGGTTGGATGGGTGGAGATTAAATGAAAGTCTGTATTCATACCATGCATTCATACATTAAGATTCATCTTTATTGTATATAGTTTACGTGTATATCTAACATTATTTGTACGTAAACACTTGAGAAAAATATACCCAGTATTCATACATATATTAAGCTTCAACTTCATTGTCTTCATCAACTGAGCTCCACTCGTTTATTATCTCCATCTTCTTAACAAAAATGCAACGAACCCATTAAACCGCCATGTGAAAACGACTGAAAACTCGTACCTGCTAGACACTCTAGAATTCATACGTACACATTAAATTTCATCTGGATCTTTCATATTCATATTTGAATTCGGAGCTAAGAATCAAGCGATTTTAATAGTTAAAGGGATAGTAGGGATGAATTTAGATTCAAATACGATATTTGTAGGTGTGTTTGAGCGTGTTCATTGTCAAATGTTTAAAAGACTTTCGAATAAATATTATATTATAACCATCTTATACAAATCAAATATAAATATATATTAAGAAATATTGATGTGACATATTAAAAAATCAAATTCGTATTTTGAATTTTTAATATGTCACATCAATATTTTTAATATTTATATTAAAAATAAATTAAAATTTTAATAATTTTAATATAATTTTAAAAGCTTAATAATTAAAGTAAAAGTATTCTTAAAAATTCAATACTACTAATATAGTTCATAATAATGATAACAATAATACTAAGTTAAAAAAATCTAATGGAGTTAACTGGTTTATTTTATTTTTTTAAATGAGGGATTTTTTATACTTTTAGCCATAACAATAGTTGAACAGTCAAAACATGAGATGACAAGCTCTCCCAAGTCTCGTATTGAGTAGTTAATTATGGTTGTTTTCAGCTCATCTACTTTATCCACTTATTGTCCTTTTCATTTATAGATAATCAATCCTTTCCAGTTTTCCCCAACTGTTTCTTCATAAAAGGATTGCTAAAGATCCCCCCTTTTTGATTCTGTACACTCTATTTATATTCCCCCTTAGATCTCTCTTGTTATTTTCACACAATTTTCAAATTTTCCCTCGAAATAATCCATGGAAAACTGTTTCTTCGATACTCTCAAGTCTCAACCTTTCTGGGTCATTTTCCTTTTCACTTTGGGTTCTTTATCAATCTTCAAATTCTCATTTGTTTTCCTCAAATGGGTCTGGGTCAATTTCCTCAGACCCGGTAAAAACCTCAAGAAATACGGCTCATGGGGTCTTGTTACCGGTCCAACCGACGGTATAGGCAAAGGTTTCGCCTTTCAGCTGGCGAAGAAAGGGCTTAATCTCGTCTTGGTGGGCCGTAATCCTGATAAACTCATAGATGTGTCCGATTCGATCTTGGCCAAGCATGGCACGATTCAGATCAAGACCGTGGTCGTGGACTTCACTGGCAATCTCGATGAAGGTGTGAAGAAGATTAAAGAAACAATTAAAGGGTTGGATGTTGGTGTTTTGATCAACAATGTTGGCATTTCGTATCCTTATGCTCGATTCTTCCACGAGGTTGACGAGGAGTTGTTGAGGAATTTGATTAAGGTTAATGTTGAAGGCACCACAAAGGTTACTCAAGCTGTTTTGCCTGGGATGGTGAAGAGAAAGAAAGGTGCTATTGTGAATATTGGTTCTGGTGCTGCCATTGTTATACCTTCTGATCCACTATATGCTGTTTATGCTGCTACTAAGGCGTGAGTGTTCTGATATTTACAATGTTAATCGGGGTTTTATTGCTTTTTGGAAGCTGAAGTTGATTGTTTTGGGGGATTTTTTTCAGGTATATTGATCAATTCTCTAGGTGCCTTTATGTTGAATACAAGAACAGTGGGATTGATGTTCAGTGCCAGGTAATGTTTGCTAATATATATATACCAATGGTTTAGTATAGAGTTATAAATGCTAAAGGCATATTCTGTAAAGGTTGAAACTTGAACCGATATTCTAGATATGGATTAGTCTATATCTATGTTACCTGGATTCGGGTGTGAGTGTTAGATACAGGTATGCATTCGACTTAGTGTGATCAGTCTTTTCTATGTTTTTTTTCATGTATTTGGATGATCCTTAGAGGTCATATTGCCATATACGTCTTTGACATATGTTGAGATCCAATTCATTAGTAATTTGTCCATTACTTTCCAATCCATCAACCATTACCACCATATGTGTAGGACCTGCCTATGGATAGTGATGAATGGTGATCAAGTTTGTAATGAATAGTAATGGATGGGAGATTCGCGCGTTTGACACACTTGAGGGTAGAGAAACACAGGTCTAAATATCTTGGCTATGTGTTTTTACTATTTCAAACTTCTATTGGTAGAAGTGCATTGCCACTTTTTCATTTGTTAGAAATTGCAGCTCATAAGTTAAAAGTGGTTCAGTGATGAATTGATGTGTCATCAACAACGAATTACCTCTATATGTAGTATATTACAGTTTGATATTCTATGTGTAAACAATCTAATTTGTGAACGTTCAGCGAAAATGGACTCTTGTTCTGAAATATTGATTTTTACAAATGTGTGTTGGCCATGCATGCTACCCCACTTGTCCTGTTTTTAGAAATTAGGTATATATCATTATCTTGTTTTCTTGTTTCAAAAGGCATTTTTTTAATCTACTTGACCAGAAATGTTGACAAAATTTGATTTGCTAATTTCTTTTGGGAGAAGAAATGATTTACTGTTTTCAACCGTACAATCTTTTCAATCACTTTCACTCTCTTAGGGTGTTAGTATTATGAATATATTAAACGCTGCTTTCACTGCAAGACGATGAGCAAAAAAGCTGATTCAGCATATTTTTATGCGTTTTTTATGATATTAGTTTAGTTCCAGGATTTCATTCATGCTACTCAATTACGTGCAATATTGTCATCAATAGGTCATCAATTTTCACATTAGTATAGCCCCCAAGATCATATTGTTTTCTATATCTTAGGATTTCTTTTCTGAATACTCCTTTCGATTTGAATGGTTCTTAGTATCCCTTTTTTCCGTTCACTCAATCCTTAATTCTCGTGTATGTATTTCTGATGACTCATGTGAATCAGCTTCGTAAATCTTGATGAGATTATTTTCAGTATTGACATCTAAGGTTACATTGTGTTTTATTGTCAAAATAAAAGGGAGGGTTATTGTTAAACCGGGGGCAGGAAGTCTATCCATTTGTATCATCACAAGATAAAAGTTGAACTTCTATGAAGTTGGTGTATTTAGGTCGGTTGACGAAAGCTATAGCTTACAAATATTTTGTCTTAATATTGTTGCAAACATAGAGACCTGCTGGACTCTATGCATCGACATTCTCTAATTGACCAAGGGGTTTCTAAATGCAGGTTCCGTTATACGTGGCAACGAAAATGGCATCAATCAGAAGATCTTCTTTCTTTGTTCCGTCAACAGATGGTTATGCTCGTGCAGCCATGCGCTGGATAGGCTATGAACCTCGTTGCACACCCTACTGGCCCCATTCCATCCTCTGGGGCTTGGCTTATTCACTGCCGGAGAGCATGGTCGATGCATGGCGTTTGCACTTTTGTCTTGGCATTAGAAAGAGGGGACAACTCAAAGATTCTAGGAAGAATGAATGAAAACAACTAGTTGACTCTGGTATGTTTTCCTGTTGATGTAGTTCAAAGATCATTGGGATCAACGTGCATTAGGCTCCTTTCAATCTTTTGAGATGTACCATTTTCTGTTCCTTCTGGCATTGTGACACTTCCATTATGTATTAGGACATGATTTGGTGGAGGATAGGGATGAAGTTATAGATATCTATGAACCCATTTCTGCATGCTCTGCTTTCTAAACTATGAGAAATTGAAATTTCTAGGGATACAACTGCACTCCAACTTTCCTCTATCTATTTCAGCATAATATTATTTAAGGAAGGTAGGATCTTGAATTGTTTATATCGTAGTATTATGAGAATATTCAACAAGAAACCTAATTCAACCAATGTTTTAATGCTTTTATTTTTGTTAATATATTACTTTAATTTCATGAATATGACACCATCCTTCATACATGCAATATTGTCATCAATTTTTATATTAATTTTACAATATTCCATTCTATCAATAGGACATATGTCACCTTCAATACCTTACTTGTAAAGTTTTAAAACTCTATTAATAATGTATTTAATAATTTTTTGTAAAAAAAATGCTTCCTTTATTATTAGGTTGGGTTCGGGTTGAGTGTGCTTTACGTGTGGGCAGTGGACCTACGAGGAAAGTTGGAAAATCCGGCTTTAGCACGAGCTGGAAATAACGTGCCGAAAGCCGCAAGCGCTTGTTCATTGTTTCTTTCTACTATTCTTCTATATATAATGGATTTTATAATTATTATTATATGCACTGATAATAAAAAATATATCTTTTTATAAATAAAACTATACTTATAATAAATAATTCATTCTTTTACTCTTCAATTTTAAAATTTATTATAGAGATATTTGTTACAATTATATAGTTGCTTATAGAAAATTTTCTTTGGTGAACAATATGCAATTAATAATCCAATTGTAATAGGAATTACTATTTGTTTATATTGTGTAAACTTCATTAGTTTTATATAAAAAAATAGGTTATTGAATGAATTTAAATAAATATTTGAAATTAAAAGGTTTTCAATTTAATTTTTATTAAAAATTAAAGCAAAAATATAATACTAATGCATAAGGTTTTAATCTCAATATTTCATTAAATTCGTGTGATGATTATATTTTTAATGTAAAACTAATCAGTTTTATGCAGGGTAAACATATCAGGTCCTATTGTAACAAATTTGAGGGTAAACTATACAAACTATTCTCAATTTTATTCTCATTTTTATTTTGATCACTAAATTTTAAAAATTCTTAATTTTCTCACTTCAATATTAGATATTATTAATTTGGTCACTCATATGTTCTCTCTCTAATTCTACGCTAACTTTTTTTTTAATTAATTTTTTAGTCATATAGACGCCAACTTAGATTTTGACCATAGTTTGTTGTGTCCAACCACTTTACTTCATGTTTAAATCTTCATGTTTCAATCTCTTAAATCAGAATTTGACCTCTATTTTGCTCAAATCCCAAATCCATTACCATTTCGTGACCATTATCCCTAAAACTTCTAGTAGGTTTCAGAAAATAAACCATTCTCACCTACCAATACCACCACTCTCGGCCTCTATTTGAAAACAAATGGTGAGTCACCCAAAACTTAGGGTTCTATCCTTCAGAAAACAAAGAAAAAAAAACTTTCGTTGGAAAAAGGAGAAATTATCGATTAATGTAAGGAAAACATAAAGAAAAATGAAAAAAAAATCTTTGATGGTCGTAGCCTCCATTTGAAGATCTCAATGGTGAAAATATGTAACACCCCCAACCTGTATCCGACCCGGATCCGAGTCCGAGGTGTCACATTGACTTTTCAAACTGTTTCTTTTCGCGAAATGACTAAAGAAAACTTAGCTTCTCGTTTAAATAAAACTGAATAACTTGCATTAATTAAAACATTTAGTTTTACAAAGCCTATCAGAGCATATTCAATACAAATCACCTAGTACATGTCAACTACATTCAATATATCAAATACATAATCGTATCAATTTCTCTTCTGATCTGATCTTTAGCAAGGAGAACTGACGTGTCTTGCTCCTTATTGCGCTATAATCTCCTCGAACCTACGTGTGAAACAATTACACGCTAAGTCGTTGACTTAGTGAGGCATAATATATATATATAATTGAAACTCGATATACTTAACCATGCATGAATATATCATACTATGACATCACATAAAAATCACTCATCTATCTATATAAGCTTTCGTATAATCAAATATATATATATATACACATCACTCATCATTTTCATCATTTAACTTATTTCCCTATCAACATTACGATCATTTATATATTTTAATCATATCCTCTTATACCTAACATTTTAATCAAACAATACACACATTCTCATATTCATATAATACAATTCATATCACACAAAAGTTTATACATTACATGTAATATATTTATTGTTATCTCTTTGTTGGCCCATGTGCACATGTGAGAACCAAAGATATGTGAGTATATAGATGTTGTGCACTATGCTATCACCACAGCTCGTATGGGGTCCCACTAGGGGCATGTGAAATTTATCCTGAAGGTCCACTATGAAATGTCCCGAAGGACCACTATGTCCCGAAGGACCACGTAGAACCCTCGACTCTTGGCATGCCAACTATACCTCTAGCTCTTATGACACATAACATGGGCATTTCCATTTATCATTTCACATATTCATATAAACATATCACATAGGCACATAATCTCATAGCTTCTTTCACATAGCTCACTGTCACATTTTCATATGATCACGTAGTTCATATCTCATAGAGTTCATAACTTTTCTCGTATAATCCCTTATACAATATCACATGTCTTACACTTGAATATCTTATGTTCACAGATATCATATAATTTCTTTAACTTGTAGTTTAAATCACATGTTCTGTCGAAACCTCTTTTTTTTCTAAAAGGTGAAAAAGCAAGATTTTGAAAACCACATTAATTTTTGAATTATATCTTTTAATTTAAAAACAAATGCAATTTAAAAACCTCTCGTTTCGAAAAATTTTGGATTTCTTTTACGATCGAAAAAATACGGTTCAAAGAGTCGCCACCAATATTTGATTAGGGTGTGATTGGGCACCCAAAAATGTTTTGTTATTTTAAATAAAAATTAATTTTAATTAAAACAACAAATTAAGGTATGCGTTACCAAAATCCAAGTTCGGGAGTCGGTTACGTGCGGGGAAGGATTAGCACCCCCACAACGCCCTAAAACGGTACATAGTCGATTAATTAATGTCTTTGCATTGAACTTTACAAATTCAAACTTAATTTGATTTTTTATCCCATAAAAACAAAGATGTAAATTTAAAACATTCAAAAGCACTCAAATAAATTAAATTAAAATTACCGAATCATTTTAGAAAGATAAAGAATGTTCGATTATTTACAAATATCGAGACCAGATCTTAAAAGTTAAAAACAACATTTTCTCGATAAATTTAAATAAACGAACATTTCCTTTTCTTTCGTTCCCAAATTTTAGGTGACGGATCAATTTTTAGGCGTCACTAATGGGATACACTTTTATCTTAAAATCATTAAAAGCGGACCTCAGATCAGTTATGACTGCCCACTTAAAATAATTTTAAATTAAAAGTGTATTACCCTTAATTCAATTATGTATTATGTCGAGTTATGCAAATGCGGTTACCATGTGAATCGTGCAAAAAGGATGTCATGCCAAAATTAATTAAAAAACATTAAAAATATCATACAACGTGACATACAAAAAATTATATACGTATATTTTAATTACAAATTATAAACTATGCCTATTAACATACAATGTACAAATATGACTCAAATATAAAAACAAAAACATAACATGCTAAACTAAAAATTTAAAAAGTATATATACATAAATGTAGTGACTAAATTTAAATGTACAATTCAATATACTACACAAATTCAGACCATTTTAACATGAAGGATAAATAATTCAGACCCTAAATTGCTAATAAACCATAAGCATGCATAGGACTGAAATAAAAGAACATAAAACAACAAATCAAATACATAAACTATACGAAGTACAAACAAATAAACTAAATTGACTAAAAGGAAATGAAGCGTAAATTAAAAATATATATGTATATATCACTAATTAAAACAAGGGTTAAAACGAAAATGCTTAAGTTATGAGGGCCTAAACCTAATCCATCCCTAAGGTCACGGTGGCTAACAATAATTAACCCTAAAGTTTTAATATATAACTTAACTAAAATTAAACCTAATCTAATGTAAACTAAACCTACAACAGACTCCTTTCTCCCCTCACGCTCAATGTCTCTTCTCTCGTCTTCTCAAACAGAGAGTTATGCAACTCTCTATGCCGACCACCATGAAACAAGAACCCTCTCTCTCGCTTCGAGACCCATCGACCGAAGCTTGGCCATCAATCTCCGATGGCCTTCGTTGCAACACTCGGCCACCATACTTTGGTGGCCACCTCTCTTCCGACCATAGCTCTCCATCACACTCTCGTCCTAAAACTCTACACAATCGATCCTAATAAAGCTGACCACTGTTCAAGATGGTTCCCTCTTCTCCATGCAACACAGGCCACGATCGAGAGAAAACAACCACTGCGACCCCTATCGCTCATCTAACAAGTTTCCACTCCCGACGAAGGGATCACTCCTCTTCGGCGAAATTGAAGCGAAACAAGGTATAAAACTAACTATTAATTTCTGTTTTTACTTTACAATTTGCATTTAGTTAAAAAAAATTAAAATAGATGAAGAGAAATACTAATGTAATCATAAAGAAGAAAGAAAAAAAACCTTGTAGTAACTGAATTCCACTTTGTATTGCTTTGATTCTTTGAAACGAGTGAACTCTTCCATTCCTTTGATTTTCAAATTGAAGGAAAATACAGTATAATGTTTTTTCGTTTTGCTATCTACTTTCTGAAAAGAGAAACAATGGAGATTTGTTTTTTGTTTTTGCTCTCGGTTAATTGCTCTTTGTCCTCTCTTTTTTCTCTGTCTGTGTATCTTTTATGTGTGATCCTTTTTTTTTGATAATCAGTGGTTATTTCCCCCTTCTCCGTTGGTATATCCCCACATCCCTTATTTGTTGCAGGTATCTCCAAAACGGTTGCACGGTTATGGGACTCATCTGGCATCTACTGGATGGAAAGAAACTGCTGAAGATTTTGGTATTGTCTCCACTCTTGAGCCTGCACTTGCTGGGTTAATTGTGTCTTGGGCTCCGAT